TTGACGAATTTCTGTTGCTGTTGATGTGTCAATAATGTACAATTGGCCATACACGGGGTCTTCATCATGTTGAGGCAGCAAATCTGAGATTGAACGATAAATCTGTCCTTGAATTTTGAAACAGTATGGTCCTTTTCCTGGAATATCTTTCTTACTGGCTGAAAAATAAGCAAAAGCCACCACACTGTTGTATTGCCGAATGAATTTGTACAGTTGTGGGCTCTCTTCAAACAAATTTTTAAGTTCTACATTAGTTTTTGGCTGAGGAAGGATAATAAGTCCGTTATGGCAACATGTCATAAAATGATTATTGGTTAGTTCTTTTTTAAAATGAAGAGCACTACATTGAATGTACTCTTGGTCCAGTAATCCTGCATCATGAATATTTACATTTCTCTCGTCTACCATAGGTCTCCTAAAAAGGGGTTATAACATATCTTGATTAAGTTCGTCATTATCTACTCTTGCTCTATCTACGCGCACTGTCATTCCTATGAACAGTTCCCCGCCTTTGTGGTCTACCCCTGGTGTTCATATTAATTACAGTACTTATAATGAAAAGAATGTATCCAGCAGCCTACATACCAAAACATCTTGAATCCCTGGTGATTTTATAAAAGTATGATCGAATATGATTACTCTACGTTGTATATTCACTGCACTAAAAAAATATTTACTTGCGAAGGAATGCAAATACACCATTTTAGAAAACAAAATTCTAAGAATAGCGGTGAATGCTCCCTGGTTTGTTAGAAACAGGCATATACATGAAGAACTAGGAGTGGAGTCTATCTCGGCCTTTATTGAAAAAACCACCTCAAAATTTCTAAAATCTTTAAACGATGTTCCTGGTGCATTAACTTTTCATCTTGGTGAAGCAACTGAGAACAGGAGGCTACGTCGAAGGCTCCCTCAAGATCTATTGGATGAATGAAGCCTAAAGACGATTAAATTATTCTCTAAATTAATTATGTTACAGGGTGTACCAGGTTTGGGCGAACCCACGATGTTATTATAGTTAATTACTTTTTAATTTTGTTAACACTTCTGTGTATAATGTCTACATTGAACCAGAAATAAATGCTGTAAAAAAAAAGAACCAATAACATTTATAGGTTATTTTAGTTGTATATATTAACAGAACCTTAACCTAAAAATGTGTAGAAATATAAAGAAAACAACATCATTTAAAATAAACTTGAACATATGATTTAAAAATAAAAACAAAACAGAAGTTAGATTTAATTTTGACTCTTTGATTATTTATACAGAATATTTATTCTATATCGTTTATTCCTTTAACACGACAATAACGTAAAAGCATGAAAAAATTAAACTTGAGTATATGATTTAAATATAAACAAAGAATGCAGACGTTTTCCCGATTAATCTTCAAGATTTCAGTTTTATTATAGGATACATTTCATAGTTGACTGGCTAAAAGTAAACCAAATGCGTGTATTGATCACTGTTTTCAAGATATAGCACGATCAGCTGTATTGAAGTAAAGAGAAATCAGCAGTAAATGACTTCTAATGCTATTCTTATGGAGAACATTTTACGTTAATATCTAATTTTGAATCAATATTTGGGGAATTTCACTATTTTTCCCGCCGTCACGGGGTCGAGACCTTTAATTTGAGCCCTCTCCCGTCCTTCTACGACTTCCCAGTCGCCCACAATTTTGACGCAAAGAATCGGCTTACGTTACTATATTTAGGTAGAAAAGAAGAAATACGATAAGATAACTATAGATCACCATAACTAAAAATTATGTAAACAAACTTTGTAGTAAACAAAATGAAATTCATAAAAAGTACAGCTGGTATCTATATAAAAGGCTATGAGTACACAGATTTTCAGAAATACAACTAATACAAATCTGTGGCACAGCTGTTTTAATTTCAAAAGATGTAAACAAATTAAACCCCATGTTGTTTTAATGGGAAAAGTTTTATTCTGATGCGAATTTATGGTAAAAAAATAAGAAAAATGAATAGTTTTCCCTCAAAATTCACGTCAAGACCTTTAAAATAAGACCCCTCCCATCCTTCTACGGCCATCCAGTCACTCACAATTTCTTTACAAAAATTTGACTTACGGAATTATATATATAGATAAACATATTTGCGACATAAGAACATTTAATTGAAGCCTAAAAAACAGTTCGAAAAAGGCATTCTATTCTTTATACTAGTAAAAACTAAAATGAGGGTATAAAAAATAGTTTTCAAAGATCATGTTGATCAATGTACATTCATCTAGCCTTGAAAAAAAGTATTTAAAAGCTTACTCCAAACATAATGAAGTTTATCGGTTGTTAACAAAATGTCATCATTTTTCAAACCATGTAAACCTTATAGTTTTCCAACTGTTATCTGTGGCACAGCTGTTTTAATTTCAAAAGATGTAAACAAATTAAACCCCATGTTGTTTTAATGGGAAAAGTTTTATTCTGATGCGAATTTATGGTAAAAAAATAAGAAAAATGAATAGTTTTACCTCAAAATTCACGTCAAGACCTTTAAAATAAGACCCCTCCCATCCTTCTACGGCCATCCAGTCACTCACAATTTCTTTTAAAAAATTTGACTTACGGAATTATATATATAGATAAACATATTTGCGACATAAGAACATTTAATTGAAGCCTAAAAAACAGTTCGAAAAAGGCATTCTATTCTTTATACTAGTAAAAACTAAAATGAGGGTATAAAAAATAGTTTTCAAAGATCATGTTGATCAATGTACATTCATCTAGCCTTGAAAAAAGGTATTTAAAAGCTTACTCCAAACATAATGAAGTTTATCGGTTGTTAACAAAATGTCATCATTTTTCAAACCATGTAAACCTTATAGTTTTCCAACTGTTGCCTTGTTTATTTTTTCTTTTTATGTTTTTTTTTTACATTATGATGTTTCAATTAATGGTACAAATATTCATAGTATATATATTTCTGAACAAGAACATATACCCATGTATATATAACTAATAAAGGTTCCATAAGCATTTTACACGAGAGAACACTGTTCGGCAAGTAGCCGGTCATCGTAACCGGTCATCATGAAGGAGCTTGGACGTCGTGCAACAGCGCTGAGCTATATTGGACGTCGTGCAACAGTCAAATATTTATTGGACGTCGTGGCACTTGGACGTCGTGCAACAGCGCTGAGCTATATTGGACGTCGTGCAACAGTCAAATATTTATTGGACGTCGTGGCACTTGGACGTCGTGCAACTGGCAGCGACTTTGGATGTCGTGCAAATGTTACTTTTTTACAATTCTATAGTGCGCTGTTTCACGACGTCCAAGTGCCACGACGTCCAAAGCTTGTAGAAAGACTATATTTTTGGCAGTTACTGTACTTTTGGACGTCGTGGCACTTGGACGTCGTGCAACAACTCAAAAATTATGTTTTGGACGTCGTGGCACTGAATAAATATTATTGGACGTCGTGGCACTTGGACGTCGTGCAATGCATCCCAGTAGGCCTACTGTGGACCTGGAACAAATTTAAGGAAGAGATAAGCAAGGGGTGATCCAGGCGTAGATAAATTGGATGCTGGATGCAAAAACCACGACATAGCAAACTCAAGATCGTAGGGATGGGTCGAATTCGGATCTTGAATCCACCGAATCTTAAGAAAAGATTGGGAATCAAGAATATTTTTTTTAAGAATAGAATTATGAGGCATATACTGTGACATTGACTAACCATAGAGGTTATTGACGTCGTGATATACAGTACTATGACATTGGCTAACCATAGAGGTTATTAACGTCGTAATATACAGTAATATACAGTGTGACATTGCATAATCATACAGGTTATTGACGTCGTAATATACTGTGACATTGCCTAACCATACAGGTTATTGACGTCGTAATATACAGTACTGTAACATTGACTAACCATAGAGGTTATTTAACTCGTAATATACAGTACTGAGACATTGGCTAACCATATAGGTTATTTAACTCGTAATATACAGTACTGTGACATTGCCTAACCATAGAGGTTATTAACGTCGGCAATATACAGTACTGTAACATTGCCTAACCATACAGGTTATTAACGTCGTAATATACAGTACTGTGAAATTGCCTAACCATAGAGGTTATTAACGTCGGCAATATACAGTACTGTAACATTGCCTAACCATACAGGTTATTAACGTCGTAATATACAGTACTGTAACATTGCCAAACCATAGAGGTTATTAACGTCGTAATATACAGTACTGTGACATTGCCTAACCAGAGGTTATTGACGTCATAACATACAGTACTGTGACATTGCCTCACCATAGAGGTTATTAACGTCGTAATATACAGTACTGTGACATTGCCTAACCATTGAGGTTATTAACGTCGTAATATTCAATACTGTGACATTGCCTTACCATAGAGGTTATTGACGTCGTAATATACAGTACTGTGACATTGCCTAACTATAGAGGTTATTGACGTCGTAATATAGAGTACTGTGACATTGCCTAACTATAGAGGTTATTGACGTCGTAATATACAGTACTGTGACATTGAGTAAAAAATCGGGACAAAATCGGTCTTGTACATGGATACAGACAGCTTTGTGTTACCTAGTAAAAAAAATCGGATCCAGCCAAAGATCCAGAATTTTTTGGATCTGATCGGGTGCCGGTTCCAGCTCGGATCCGACCATCACTTGTATTACATTGTCTGATGATTTCAAAATATGGTAGTCCTGCAAACTTGGCACTTGATAACCAAGATAAATTATGTAGTCTATAAAAAGACAATGTACTTAACTATATTATCAGTTTAATCTTTTGGCTCTATTTCTGATCAATACTCTTGTATTTCTTAAATTTAAAACCATTCCGCTTCCCGGTCTAAACTATGCATAGTTTGTCCAGTATTAAAACAGCTGCATATTCAGAAACTAAAGTGAGCTTTCAAGCTATAAAAATAACAATCCTTCTTAACATTACACAGCAGTTAAAGACAAGGCGTTACCTTTCTATACGACTCCCTCCACAAAGTTGGTGTCTAAGTACTGAATGAGGGTGCGCATGAACGCCATCTCCTTGCGCGCGTTGTCGAAGATGACGCGAGGGTCGTGGGAGGTGCAGCGTAGACAGTTAGGTGCGATCACCATGGCCAGGTTACTGGCGTCCATCTTGGTCTGCTGTACAACCTCGCTCCGTGCAAATATCTACACAGTGAAAAAAGTTTGTAATGTCAATTTATAGTAGCTGTGTGGGCCAAAGATTGTTGATCAAGCTGAGCAAATATCTACACATTTAAATTAAGTTGAAGGATTTACTGCAGCTACACAATTTAAATGCACTGACACGGCACAACATGCCGTAATCATCCCTGGCAATTGTGGCAACATCTTAAATGTACAATCGCACAATAATTTGTGCCATCGTTGTCTAAAGAATAAATTATTGGTTTGGCTTCATTTTCTAACTTCTGACATTTTTCCCACTATTTATTTATTTACTATTTATTTACTTCAAGCTTTATGAGGAGGCTTGGCTCATCTCAAAAATCCAGCTTCTCGCACACCTCTACTGATATAGTAGGCCTAAAGGAGAAATATATTAAAATCTTATTAAAATATCATAACAAAAATAGAGTCTTTTTCCCTATTAATGAGTATCAATCAGATTCAACATAAGGGAAAAAACCAAATCACTCATCTTTACTGTTATCAACGTTAGTCCAAAACATTTATGTACTCCAAACAAGACAGAATCATAGTTTAGCTCAGCAAAATTTCATAATACCCCCGCCGCAGCAAACCTGCAGACTAAGCGAATTTCAACTCGTCTGATTACATTTTTACTAAAATATTTCCATAAATAAGACATATTATTCCCTATTTAAATAACATTAGATTTAACGAGTGCTTAGGTTCGCTGCTACGGGGAAGGTAAAAAGTGTTTTTTGACCATACGTCAATAGTATAGGATGAAATAAATAAATTTGCCAAATTTTATCAATATATACCCATAAACAAGTAAACTACAACAATTTTCATTTTCTCCATAAGAATAACATGGGAATTTTTAATTACACTATTAATTACACTAGCATACAACAGCGCTTCAATATACTAAATTATTTCTTTTTTTAAGCTCTACAAAACGGTTTAGAAAGAAATTGCAAAATTTTTTGTTTTTAGGTTCAAAAATGGGTTTTTCCCCCATAAAACCCCCCATAAACCCCCGTTCCCATGGTCCGATTATGCTGGATCGCGAACTCGTTTGAATAAACGTAGGCTTACACGTTTGTACCAAATTTCATCAAAATCGGATCATTTTTGCTTGAGTTATCGCGCTAACGGACACATATATATATATATATATATATAAATATATATATAAATATATATATAAATATATATATATATATATATATGAATTTGAACGGATGGTGTTTTTGGCCTCTAGGGACCACAAAATGAAAAATTAAATCGGTCTCGGGTCCAGGTCTTACCATGAGTACTACGGTAATAGCTTATTCCCTATATGGGAAATTCGCTAATATTCCCTATATGGGAAATTCGCTAAAATGAGAAGAGTTGGGGAAAAATTTGATTTCCAAAACAGTTTTTTAACACCTAGAGGTAGCAATATACCCCGACGAAAATAACCTAGGAAAACATACCTGAAGAAATCGCACAAGGTAGGACAAAACGAGCCTGTTGATTTCTGGAAGACTATCGACAATTTGTATCGCTCGGATTGGGTTGTCGTGATGCTGAATACACTCGTTGTACATGGTGTCCGGTATGAGTGGCTCGTACAGCTCTCTATACCATAACTTGAGCAGAGACGCAGGAGTGTGAGCGTCCGTCCAGTCTGTGGGCCGATCCCACCTGTCTAGCTGCATCTTGAGACTAGTCACTTCATCTACGTCCGCAGATACCCTGTAAACAACAAATCGGTAATAATAGAATGAATCAAGTCATTTAACCATACGGTTGGAAGTCAATGTGTCATAGTAAACCATTTCTCTTAACATGTTACCAGTTTGGTTGATAGGACTCCACAACACACAGATGAAGCAGTGCTAACTGGAAAAGAGGGTCCAGATTATAATTATTGGTATAAAACTTTGTCACTGATAATTTAAACCAAAATTTTGATCCATGCGCAAATCACGCATAATGGGGTTCATAGCTCAATTCCAAGGAAAAATAATAATGTAATACACATTTACTTTTCAAATTTCTAGATCTACACCATAAAGACTTAAGATTTTCTACTTCAGTTCAATCGAGACGTAGGAATTGGCTAACTCAGGAACTCGCTAACTCGGTCGTGTGGCGGAACTGGCTAACTCTGGAACTGGCTAACCGTCTCAGTCAGGAATTGGCTAACTCCGGAACCCGCTAACTCGATTTTGTCTCGCGGCGGAATTCGCTAACTCTGGAAGTCGCTAACCCGGCCGCGCCCACTGCTCGGAGCGTTGCCAACCTTTTACGACAAAATAATCGTACACTGCCGTATTTCAAAATGTCAGTGTCTATAAAGATACAGTAAATGTTATTTTTTTTTTATCAATTCCACTTTTAACAGATAACTAGCCCAAAGTAATTAAAAGACAATTAAAAAATCATGAAAAAGTGTTTTTTATTAAACTGTACAACGGCCAGTTAAATGTTTATGATTTCGATCTTAAATATAAATGCCATCAGTATAAAAGAAAATAATAGAATATGAAAAATATTCAAAATTTTGTTTAATTGGTAATAAATAATTAAACCTCTACGAAAATAAGCTAAAATACACGCAAGTTCTTAAACACGGAAAACAGATTTAATTGTAATGTCGTAATAAACCAAAACCATTAATTAATACAGTCATCAACCATCGTAACTTTCATAATTAATTCATAGATTTTAAATTAAATGTTCGTCGTTGAACCGTCCAACTTACGTGTACAAATATGATGACATAGACTAAGTTTTTATCTAGGCCTAATAGTTTGAACCAAAGCATTGTAGGCCTACTAGTAAATAGTTGCCTAATTCTAAAATGTGTTGAATTTTTTAGCAATAATGTTACATGTTTTAAAACAGTTTTTAGATTGTACACCTAAGCACCACTAGTAAAAAATAGGAGAAGATATAATCTAATATATAAAATTCTCGTGTCACAGTGTTTGTCTGCAAACTCCTCCGGAACGACTTCACCGATCGTTATGAAATTTGGTGTGTAAATTCTGTAGGTATGCGAATCGGACGTAAACTATTTCCCGTTTCGAAATTCTTAAAAGGGCTCCGCCCCAGGGGCTCTGGAGTTTCCCATGTTAACCTTATGAGAAATGGAATTAATGAATCTTAACAGCTGTTTCAATTAAACAAGTTGGTTCTGTTCTATGATGTTCAATAGCATTAAAGTTACAAGGATTACCAACAGGGTGCAGCACTATTTATGACAACAGCTAATTTGCAACCAAAAGGTGAGTGAGCGTAGCGAACTAACTTCAACCTGGAGGCGAGTTAGCGTAGCGAACGAGCTAACCTGAAGGCAAGTGAGCGCAGCGAACGAGCTCCAACCTAAAGGTGAGTGAGCGTAGCGAACGAGCTCCAACCCAAAGGTGAGTGAGCGTAGCGAACGAACTTTAACCTGGAGGCGAGTTAGCGTAGCGAACGAGCTAACCTGAAGGCAAGTGAGCGCAGCGAACGAGCTCCAACCTAAAGGTGAGTGAGCGAAGCGAACGAGCTCCAACCCAAAGGTGAGTGAGCGTAGCGAACGAACTTCAACCAGGACGTGATTGAGCGATGCGAACGAGATCATCTTGAAAATTAAACGTAACGGTACTTTCTTTCCATCGGTCTGTCTTAGGGGAAACCTATAACTTAGGCGATACGAAGTTCGCCGGGTCAGCTAGTATTCATATAATAAAACGTGACAGGGTTATTTTAATTCACGATTTTTAATAAACTAATTGACGGATTTTCCTGATTTGAGTGTTGGGTTTCCTTTATATTGCTTTCACAAACGATATAAACTATACCAAGCCATTGCTCGGTTCACCGTTCCCCAGTACTAAGCTACACAATAGACAATAGCTTTGTTTTTGGATAAGATAGAATCAGCCTGGAAAAAAACTCCAGACTTTTAAAAAGTAAGCCTACTGAAAGACGTAAAATTACTATTAATTCAACAAAATTAAGAGGATGACCCGGGTTCTACACTAATAGCCTACGATAAAAGAAATTTACAAGTTGTATTTATGCATAGACTAACTTTTAATGCAATCCATGAATACATTAGGCCTACCACTTTATAATGTATTGATAAATATTTATTTAAATTCAATAGCTCTATTTAAAAATACATAACCACTACAATGTAATTCTGTAATGACGTTTAACGTGTAAATTTTATTATGATTTAAGGTTACTACAAGCTCAGTATATAAAATACGAACTCAAAAATTTTTTTTGCAGAAGTTCACAAAATGGTATTTATTCCAATAAAAGAAACAAATGGCGGACTACGAAAATAGATATTTCATAACATGTAATAGATCCAAATTAAATGTGCATTTTTATCTTTTTCATACCAATAAGCTACTATTTAAGTAAGAAACCCACATATAAAACATACTCCCTTATATTAGTACATTTCTCATCCTTATGGATGATCTGAAGACAGTTGTATTGTTAGTTCTGTCCGGTGTACTGTCTTTAGAGGTCGTGTTTTGTTTACAATTGTTTCTTGTTTTCAGTAATTTAAAACCTCGTTTAACCAAATAAAACGTTCTAATTACAACTAATAACACGTCCCCTAGTTATATAACCAAACAGTAAGGAACAAATCATGAAGTTAACTATAAAATAATAGAAACACAATTTTGTCGACACTAGCGATCAGTGTCACCGGACATGAACTAGACACGAAAAACGAGCTTCAAAGTTTACAATGGGATGTAAAGTTTACTTGTGTTGGTTAGTCTATGGTAAGACTATAATGCATTTTCCACCCTAATAATCATAAGAACTTCTCTGTGGTTAAACATACTTCAAAATATATTTATTTTATCGACTACGTTGCTCTTACTCCTAATTAAGCGTAGGATACGACATTATGGTGCCGATACGATATAGGTACTACTACTACACTTTCGGCATCACTGGCCAAAAATATTCGTGCTTGGCTCCCATTGGACGGCCGCGAGGTTTCTGATTGGGAGTTAGCGAGTTCCGCCGAGAGACCGAGTTAGCGACTTCCGTACGAGGACGGAATTCGCTAACCCGGCTCTAGAGCGGGTTAGCGGGTTCCGGAGTTAGCCAATTCCGAAACCGAACAAGTTAGCGAGTTCCTCTCATCGACCAAATTTGAAGATAGGGCATTTAACATGGGGTTAGCGAGTTCCAGAGTTAGCCAATTCCGCGGACCCGTTCAATCAGATGCAATCGTTAAAAACGTAGCTATTTAAAATACATTTTCATACAGCTTTCTGCCTCTAGTTTACAATCTGACCGTGGTTAAACATCAGCTGTTAGATTACAATTCGTATTTAAACCCTTATAAAGAAAGTTTAGCAACACTGAATCTTTGAAAGTGAATCCTAGAAATAATTTAAACGCAAAGGGAACAAAGTCTTAAAGTTAACCTATTCCATTCACAAGTGCACTGTGGATCATAAGCTTTAAAATGACACCTCAATTGTGAAAATCGGTTCAGTAATACAGCTAAAAACGGGGTTACAGCGAAAACACTCACTGTATTAATTACATACATCATAATTCTATGTGGGTGCTTAGTCAGGTCTATCGTAGCCAGCCTACCTGAATATGCCTTCAGTCTGAGCTCCCTGTAGCCTCAGTACTTCTTCAGATAGAGTGGTCTGTATCCAGGGCAGCTTGTAGTGAGGGAACCTCTCCTTCTGCAGGGCCATCACCTCCTGTAGAGTGGAGCCAAACATGCTTGGTCTGAAGATCTGCAACTGAACGACACAGCAAATTAATGATACAGATTTTATATATTGTTGAACACCATTACTGTGCAGTATTCATGGTAATTGCGTCCCAGGGCCATATTAGTCTGATTGGTAGAATTTCCCTGCACTCGCGGAAAAATCTTCAACATTGTTTGCGATCACGGGGACTTCACTGTTGTCACCCACATTTATGAGGACCCACTTTTTTCGTCCCCAATCATGGGAACATCAAACTCAATCATTTGTTAGGGAACAGTCAAACTCTGGTCTTGTTACTACTTAATGTTTACAACCTTCTGTTAAATACAGTAGACTCCCTCTTATCCGGACTCCTCGGGACTGAGGCCAGTCCGGATAAGGGTTTTTCCGGTTAAACCGACGTCTCCAAAACGGACCGTTTACTGTGATATTCGACTTAAATTTAGGAGAGTTTTGTATTTAGACACGTGATCACTGGTCTGAAATCTTTCCCACGAGAACAGTCGTTTCAATATCGCCCACTTCCTGCCAATCTAGTCCGGTTAAACCAATGTGCTGATAAAAATTGTCCGGTTAAAGAGATGTAATTTCCGCCGAGTGTTGTCCGGTTAAAACAATGTCCGGTTAAAAGGTGTCCGGATAAGAGGGAGTCTACTGTATTTCATTAACTGATAGACATAGAAAAAGGGCATCTGGGACGAGAATCAAACCATCGACCCTCAGATCTGAAGTAAAGCACTAAAACCCCTTCCTTGGCTACAAAGGAAATAGGACAACAAAAATAAATTCAGAACCAAATTCATGGACTTTTCTACGCTAACAATTAGAAAAAGAAAGTCCCTGCATTTGATAAATCCTTATAATCAAAACTTGACACACAATTCACTATCAACAGACTTCTAAATTATCAGATTTAAACTTACTCTAGCCTGATCGATCTCCTCCAATGTGGGTTTTCTTGGCGGTCTCTTTCCCCCCTCTCCACCCCTCTCTAGCCGCTTGCAGGCGACACTGGCGTAGTGGCTAACCTGGACGTGGATCGGCCACTTGCCTACCTCTGGGAAGTCAAAGCTTGGATCTCTGTGCCTGTGAAGCATCATGAAAATTCAATTTACAATTGATGAAACAAAACTGAGTTCAATCAAAACGATTAACCTGTAAAAAATAAATCTGATCTAACATCACCTAATTTTGGCTTGAACTGATCCGTATCTGTTCAGTGTGTGGTAAAGCGAATTTATCAAATGAATGTGCTGTTAAAAATATTAGATGTATTGGTTATCTGTCTTTCTATTACGCATCAACCACTAGACCAAATTTGCTAAATCTAATAAAAAGAACGCAAATGAGCCTTTTAAGGGTTTTGCTGCTGACAAATTGTGATAAGATTTTAATTTAAAAAATATTTAAAAAATATAAGCCTATTGGAAAAGTATTTAAAGTTGCTATACATGTAAGTGACATAAGCGTGTAGCTACAATTTTGGATTCTTTTATAAGACTTTCATATCTTCAAGGACATAAATCAAATAGAGATTTTTCAATTCTACGTCATACGTTTACTTGTTTTATGGTTATGCCAATGATAGTAGAAAATATGTTAAATTCCATAATAAATTCTAACGCCTTCTGCATTTTTCTAGACTTGTTTCATTTCTAGCTCACAACCTTTAACAAAACTGTTGAAGAAAAGGACAATTAATAATTCTAAGATATATTTGATCTATTGTTTCAGTTATTCTCAAGTTAATCTTATTTTAATTATGTGTTTGAGTTACAGATCTCTATACAACTTAATAGTTAAAAATTGCCATCAAAAATTTGTGTTATTAATTATTATTAACAGTAAATAACGTTAAATAGTATTTTGAAAGAATTTTTTGTTTTAAGAAAAATTTATGTTACACTTATATCTATATAATTTCTATCAAGGGAACGAGGAATTTTTACAGCAGAAACTTTAAATTGATTTGAAAATATTGTATTAAATTCAATTTATGTAACTCGTGTTGTTAAAATTTAAGTAATAAAAATGCCACTACTATTTACAAACTTTTTCAAACATGGTTCAATTTTATTTCTCATTTTTACTAAATTATATTCTCTTTTTAAACCTAGCATATTGAAAACCCAATGTGAATAAGATTTGGTGTACAACAATGTGAAATTAGCTGATTTATGTAGGAACTATTAAAAGCAGTGCCTAACCTAAATACTTATACATAGGCCTATTACAACAGTGTTAAATCAGTCAATTTACCAAGATTTTAGAAGAACTAAACTAATTTAAGATCCAAACTATTACAATGTGATTGTGAAATCAGCTGATTTACATAGAAACTCTAAGAAAATAGTAGGCTAGTTGAAATGTAAAGAGGAGCGTCTATACTGTTGTTCCTAACGTTTGTAATGGTAATGATGGCAGACTGATAATCATATGTATGTACACAACTGTGTGTATGACAGTGCCACATAAGTATACAACTAGAAATGTGAAACGTTTGTTGTGCATCGTTCTGTTTTTTACACAAAACCATCATTTCTGGTAAGTGAAATTTATTGCACTTAAAATTATAAACATTGAACTAGTTGTATTTCAATAGAAAATACAAACCATATGGTAACCTAGTTCTGACATCTGTTGATTGAAATAAAATTTGTGTTCTCTATGGTTTATTTTAATAAATAACAAAACTGTATTAAAAAGTTTAAAGTTTACAAAGTTTTTTTATTGTTACGGTTTAAACGATGTTATGCAATGTATAAATAAATGTGAAAGGAATTATCAACAAAGTAAAATTTTAAAAACTAAAAATAAAGTAAACAAAGAAAAACTTAAATTTACTCATGACATCATCCAAGTTGTTGTGTAAATATTTTGTTTTATAAACGCTACTAATTTGTATTGAATGAAACAGATCTTTAGTTGATATAGACATTTGAAAGATCAAATAGGATCCTCTCATCAAAATTTTTCCGAAAAGATTAATAAATAAATAAGTAAACAGGCAATAGTCAAAACCATGAAAATCCATTAATGATGGATTTGATGTCATTAATCACATAATTAATCACATCACAGATATGATGAAAATCCATTAATGATGGATTTGATGTCATTAATCACATAATTAATCACATCACAGATATGATGAAAATCCATTAATGATGGATTTGATGCCATTAATCACATAATTAATCACATCACAGATATGATGAAAATTCATTAATGATGGATTTGATGTCATTAATCACATAATTAATCACATCACAGATATGATGAAAATCCATTAATGATGGATTTGATGTCATTAATCACATAATTAATCACAGATATGATGAAAATCCATTAATATTTCAATGGATCTCTATAATGGGCTCTACTTTCTTTCATAACTTTTATAAAAATAAATTGAAAATTCACAATTCCAACTTTCTAACTAAGTCTGATACGATGTCTTTTGTCTACACCAATATTTAGCTGTACTGTGTCTTGAGGAATACAACATTGTATATGCCTAATGCTCAGTGATAAAAACCTCATAACTGAGATAATACTTTTAAATATTCATAACCCAACTGCACACCTCAACAGTAATTACTACTTTACTTTTATGTTGTGTTCGTTATGAGGTGTTTATTTTCACTGTTCATTGTTATATGAACTCTGCTTGCTACATGTACAAAGAAAAGTTTACATACGTATGTGTTTAGTTGTTAAAGGAATTTTTTTGGCCAAGATAGTTTATTGTCTAGATTTATCTCTTTTAATAACTTAAAAAAATGTTATAAAGACATACTTGCACAGGTCGGTGAGGGACAATCAAAATATATTTATTTATGAAGTAATTAAAAAAGTACACATTTATGGTAAGAAGTAGACATTTTCTATTTGAGTCTAAAGTTATTGTCAAACCTAAGACTCATTGAGTCAAGTCGATTAGTCGCACAGTAAACAAATTATTTTGTTCTTGGTGGTAAACAAGAAACATTTTTGAACTAATTAAATTTCCAACCTGGAAGTCTTAACTTATATTAGTTTTGATAACTCAATAGTAAATTTTAAAGTTTTAAAAGGGCTTTAGGGAACACATATTGTATATTTGAATAAATATAAAATCGTCAAATACCCTCTATATAAATACAGCGATCATAAGTATCCATGAACTAGCTATTGGGGTAATCTGTAATAGAGGAAAATTATTGTATGTTAAGTTATGTAAAATAAATTTGCATGATTTATCTTTAATTTCCAGAATGAGACTATACCATGAAGCGCATTATACACATCTTCCTCATTATGATCTTGCAAACATCCAGTGAGGTAATTTAATCTATCATATCAAATATTATGAGGAATTTGAGGCATTGTTTGCATTTACAATTTTACAATACACAACTTCTTAAGATATTTAATACTTTAATAGTATGTTTTGAGCTGTTTTCTGCCTTTAAAACCTAACCAAACTGCAATTCCTAGAACTGGTGCAAAACGAAAAGCTTGGATAAAACTTGACATCAAAAGAGGTGCTCAAGCAAGTTTTTTTTCAACCACTACAAAAAACTGAGAAACTAGATTTAAGTTAAAGTCAATAAAAATTGGGTGGATTTGATCTTTAGTCTATTATTTTTAAATCGGGAACTCGTGGGAAAAAATTTCACACATTTTTCCTGGTTTTTCTGTCAGCAAAACCTTTTTGTAAAGGTTATGATTCTTGGTTACCAAGTCTATGATTTTACTAGGGATCTAAGGATCCCCTGTTATTTCGGATTAGGTCGGCAACAGTTGGTCCGAGGGATCAGTACAAGTCGAAAATAATTATCGGGCCAACCTAGAGTCGAATTAAGACAAGCTTGAGACAAGAAAAATTTATGATTTTTCTGCGATAGTGGGTGACAATGGTGTCGCTGTCACTGCAGAAGTTGTTCACGGTTTTGTCGTAACCTCCAAAGATGTTTCCGTTTTGGTGTGCCCTTGGAAGGTATTCACAATTTTGAGATGCCCTGGAAGATGTTCAGGATTTCACCCTGACCGCAGAGCATGTTATTGGTTTTGCCGTAACTGCAGAAAGACTTCCACGGTTTTGCTATTTCTGTGGACCATATCAAGAATTCACTGTGACTGAGGAAGCATTGCCATGACCGAGAAATGTTTTACGATTTTGCCATGACCTCAGAAGATGTTGTTGATTTTTCTGTCACTACAAAGGACGTTCATGATTTTGCTGTGGCCGTTGACTAAAATCAGGTTTTCACAGTGAAATTTCAAAGCTCCCATATGTTTCCCATTTTTCACGGAACAACAAATTCAAGCATAATATAATTCCCAGTTTTTCTGGTCTGTGGCACACTATTAATACAGGGATCACTACCACTAAATACTGCAAGATACTAATGCAAAACTTAGCCCCAAAGCATACGATGACATCCTAAGAGCCACTCATCAAAAAATCACAAAAGCTACTCAGTATATAAATACATCCAAAAAAAGAACTACACATAGATCTATTTTATTTGGTACACTGGTATTGTTAATTTTGATTATTAAAAAAACTACAAGGCTTTTTCACAAAGTTCAACTTTTCTGACACATTTTTTTTTATTTTCAGGAACTAGAATATAACGAATTACAAGAAGTGATACAAGAGATCAACGAAATCATCGACGTGAGCTTAACCAACACTCAACTAACAGTTCACAGTGTCAGCAAACACATACTGAGCTCTTTCAACAAAGACGTCTTGTACACGACGGACAATAGAAACATCTCGAGTGATAGTGTCGAACTTTTCATCAAACTTAACACCTTATTAGACTGTCGTGAGTGGAAGCTCGTGCAAAAACAATCGGTTCCGGTTGACATCCCATTAAACAGATGGATGAAAAATCTTAAAGTAAATTTAGTAGTGTTGGAAAACGAGATTTTAATAATTAACAACAGTATTGACAGACTGGTGATGAACGGTAGTCGGAATTTTACGGAGAAGTGTGAATTTTCAAGTAACGAAGACGAGTTTTTTGATTGTTTACAAAGTGCTATCGACAAAGTTTACGACTTGTGTGACGATTTGGTTGATAGACTCAGTAGGACTTTGACATATTTCAGGACAGTGATGTGTCTCAGTTTAGATTTTATAAATCCGATTGATAAGTAATTAAATTAAAACTTAAATCCTATTCTTTGTTTTAATCGTCATTGTTGATGATGACATAGACATACTTTATTTGCACAAAACATTTCATGCATGTCATAAAATTTAGAAGTGCATTGTCAAAATTAAATCCATGCATCAAACCTTTAACATTTAAACTCAACTTAAAATTGAACACTTAAAAAGAATAAAAAAAGTTCTAAATTAAAGTTTTGTAACAATCTTCAATTGAGTAAAATGCCTTGTCAATAAGTAGCATGGCGGAAGCACATTGTACAATTTCAGCCCAGCATACAATGGAGTTTTTTCATATAGCGTGAAACGGTGTCTGGAGAGTCTAAATATATTTTCACTTCGGGTTTCATACCTGTGGTTAAAACGTCCCACAGCGTTCGTGGTTGAGTTTCTGGTAGCTCATTCTTAACTGAATGAATTTAATTTAATAATTCCGTTGTATATTGGGGATGAATTTAAGATCTTTAACTCAAGGGATTATTGTGGAAACTTTCCTTCACTCATTAAACTAGTAAAACAAAAGTTTCATGATGTTTCGGGATATAGAGTTTGATCTTGTCTTTAGATGGAAAGGAATCTAAATCTTAAAGAAGCAAATAAGAAAAGAATTAAAAATAGAAAATTGTAGGGCTTGAATCTTCAGACTGTGTGGTTATTATTGTTTGTTTAGTAGAGTTAAAATTCAATTTATAACTTTGTTTGCATTTTCAAATTTGACAGCTATAAACATCTGTTGTTTTTATTTATTGGTCAGTTCTATACTGTATTTCAAAATATCGTGCAGCTTATGTAACTATGGATGGAAAATGTCTGTGGCAATCCTTTTAGGACACAAATAATATCAAACTCAGAGCAATACCATTTGCAACACAAGATTTCAAACGTAATATAAATGTTTTACTCACCTATTCATATAGCTATCCAAGTATGTTTGAAACTTGGGTGACGGTGGGAAAAATGAAAGGCATATCGCCAAAAGTTCCCATCCTCTTCGAAGACTCTCCCTGTACAATAAAAGTTAAAGTGTTAATTAGGTTTGGAATTCATACCTAACAGGTTTCATTAACTCAATTTTAATCACATTATTGTTTGGTCATAGAGTGTCATTCGTGTGAATTAACCAAGTGTAATTGTAACAAATTATTACTTGGATGATTAGTAGTTACATCTACGAAATAAAATTCAGTTTCCTTTATCAACTTAATTTACCTTTTCACACGAGTTATGTTAAACCATATGATATTTAATCTTCGTTAAAATAAATTCTTAGATCCTGGAATTACTATCCAATGTTATGAAATATCCAAATAAGATTTTACTGAAAAATTCAAGGTTAAATCCAGAAATAATTTTCCACAATTTACGACTCAGTTTTATCGCCTCATCGTCTTCACCCTGATAATGAAATAACCAATTTCCCTCCATTCCTTATTTCCCCATAAAGGAGACGTACCTGCGAGGGTTCTCCGTCGTCTGCCGGCAGATCTGTATGTACAGCTCGTCCCGCAAGGCTGGCTTGTTGTACCCAAGGTTGCAGATCTCTAGGGCTACACTGTTCAGACTCATGCCTAGCTTAGCCTTACGATCGCTCATGTAGATCTGCACGAGTTTGAACATCTCCACTGCGTCTTTCTTGAGCGATTTGTCCGATAACACCAGCATCGGCTTTCTGATTGGATCCTGCAACAGTAATCAGTTGACTGTCTGATCGCAAGTATGATCTAATAGTTACACAAATGATCTACTAGAAAATAAAATTGAAGCTGAAAAAGGTACAGCCTAAAAATACCAAAAAGCCACACCTATGAAAGAACAAGACTTAGGGAAATAAGCACTTGGTAGTTGCGAAAGAGGGTTGTCTGTGAATTGAGGACTTCAAAGAGCTACCAATGCAACAGAGCGAACTAGTTTAAATCTTTAATTATCACCATATTTTTATTTCTCCCGCCACAATTCCAGTTGATCCCCAACTTTACTTTACACTTATTATAGTACCTGTTAATGGCGGAACTGTAAATTAACGCACCTGTTAAGTATAAATTGCATTTTGTGATAAGATTTTGGTAGTTTTGTAAGTGTTCAACCCCTACTGAAATTCGCTGCCAGTTAACGTACAGTATGAGGAGACAAATGTACGGGCGTAAAATAATATGCGTATATGATTGAGGGAGTTTGGAAAAGGCTGTAGACATTTTCAAGAGGCCAGTTGTTGTAGTTCATTAGCTACAATACAGTTATCAACGATTTTATAGCATTGCATGTGCAAGGGATTGTAGAACTGCTAGGAGATGATTCTAAAACAACTATAAACGTTGCACAATGAAAGTTTTAAAAACGCCAAAAATAGATTATGGAACTTCGTCAATTTGAATTAGCTTTTTTGGAGACCTGCTATAATGGACAACCTTCACTTAATCTTAAAAATTATTTAAACAAATTATAATGAGCTAATTAATTTGCTGGTTATCACAACATATTCTCTAGATATCTACACCTAAACATAATAAATCATTTCTAAAACTAGACTAATTACTTATCAAGAATTCAAAGCAGCAATTAAATTTTAAAAAGGAATAATCAATAATCTTATACTCACTTTTGACCAAGACAACATATCTCTGATGGAGAACTTTTTCCTAAATATGCCCTTCTTGTGGATATTGAGATTGTCTTGAGCATACTTCTCTATGTCGCTTTCAGAGGGCAACTTTTTATTCAAAACTACCCTAGATAGCTGCAACAATAGATACATCTTTAAAAATAACACACAACAAAACAGATGAGACATTGTCAAAATAGGTATATGTACATTAAAGTAGAAAATCTCTTTGTTTGTAAAAATAAAAGTAGTTTATGGAGGATAAAAAATCTGCGCCAATTTAAAAATTAAGAAAAAATAGGCCATATTACAGCTGGACAAGAATGTCTTTATACAGGGTGAGGCAATTAGAGCACCCCAATTTTATGTTGCTGTCATATGATAAGTAATGCAACAATTATTGATGAACAGCTGTGCAAATAACCTCAATTGAACTTAGCCATTTTAGTAAACATAGTCAAATAGGGTTATTAAAACTGTGATTTTGTGGTTTGCCAGCTAGCCTTCGTTGTTCGAAGCCCATTGGCTACTCAAAGTACGAGATTTTTCAAATTTGTTCCAGAGATTTGCTTGCTTTGAAACTAAGGATTTCTCAGGAAATTTAAGCGATTCCTAAAGAAATATTGGAAAGAGGATTGGATGTAATTTTCTAGCAGCTAAAGGAATGTCAAGTAGAAGAGTACCGTCAATTGAAGGACGTTTTTTTTTCAAGAAATGGAAAAATGACTCCACCAAGTTAAAATGGCATAAGATAAGCAGTGTTTTGATGTGACATTTATATTTCTAGGGTAAATAGTATTAAATTTGTAATGTTCATAAATTGGCTTTCATTGCCTCACACTGTACTTGAATAAATGGGTTAATACACCATCTACTTGTTAACACTGACCACCATGTTTATTTTTTTTAATTCCCTAAACTCTTAATTTTTTCCCTAACAGGTTGGCAGCCTCTTTTAACCTTATATTTGCCCTTTAACAAAGGCCTTGGGTCTGTATCCAACAAAGCAATGGATGAGCTGGTACAGTACAAAAGTGAACTGAACTGATAAAATTTAGTGATGGACAGGACGCGAACCCATAGGTTCACTGCCATAGGTTCTTGGGCTATTATACTACCCACTGCCTCAGAATCAATAGCCAACAAAAATCAATTTTCACAGACTCGCAAAAAATTAGTGAGTACTTGACATAAAATCTCAGTTCCGCCGGTTCTTGGCAAAAGAACCGGAACCGAGAACCGATGCTGAAATATTGGTACCGATAATGCCGAAAAATTACCGATATTGCCGCGATCGAGCAAGACAACGATGACGTTTCCGTGGCCGCGGGAGATGATTTTGCCGATGATTTTGACGACGACGAAGTTTATATTAGGTTTTATTTTCTTAATCCCTTATGTTTTGTACCAACCTAATACTAATGCAAAATACTGTAAAATTGAAATACTTTATTACTTTACTTTTACTTTAATTGAAGTAATTTTTTTATTTATTATTATAACCCCATGAAGAAAAGTGTTCTTTAATTTCAATACATAACAAAAGAAAAATTAATTTTAAGTTAAAATAAAAGCAAATTCAAATTTCCCGCCTACTCCCCACTGCTCAAGACGACATCTAACCCAAGAAGATGAAGCCGCCATCTTGTGACCTTCACTTCAATCTAGTATTATTTAGGTTATTATTATCTAGGTTATTTTGTTTTCAAAATAAAAAATTACGTAGGTCTAGCCTATCCTAAAAATTTTAAATAAGGTACCGATGGTACTGGAACCGATTTTCGATTTTGGATAGTAACATGTACCGACTTTGAACAAGTGCCCATCACTACCAGGGTGTCCACAGAAATTTTGTCATCAATTTCCCTGACTTTCCATGACTATCCATGACCATTAACCATTGATTTCCATGACTCACGAACTTAACTCAAAAATTATAATATACCGTACACACACGAATAATACTGCCTAGACAAGTTATTTCACAGAAAATATTGAAATATGTATTAACAGATAACAATGGAGTACAATAGGTACAACAATGAACTAATACAAATTCAAAACCCATAAACTAAGACAACTGTATAAATTGAAATTGTCGTACATTTGTGAAAAATTCGGAAAAATGCTTCAATAGTCGCGGTTACGGCCGACTAGAGCATTGAAAGGTCCCCTGAAATCCATCCATCATTGGGGATTTCCATGACTTTCCATGACTTTTTGCCTATTTCCATGACTTTCAATGACCATAACTTTTTTCCATGACTTTCCATGACTATCCCTGACTTTCCAGAATGTGGACACCCTGACTACCAAAAATCTTCTCAAGGTAAACTAGATAAGCTCTTGTCCCTTACTAAACAAAACTCCTATTGCCAACAGCCACATGACTCTCTCTTAAAGCAGTATAGCTAAAAAAAACTTTTTCAGAATATAAAGAGCTAATGAATCATGCTATTTACAATTTACGTATAACCAGAAGAAGCAACAAGCCATTACAAGTGATTACGTTAATTCAGGAAAGGATAACCAAGTACCGGTAAATAAGAAATTTGTAAGTAGGCCTAGCTGTTAGTGTATTAGTTTGTCATAATATGTAGACAATACAACACCTCTTCTATACTAATCAATTATCCTAAGAACTAATCAACAAAATAAGACTTCCATAAACCTATGTTAGTACTGCATAAATCCTATTTTACCTTGTTACTATGTCATGGCATTTGTGTTAGAAGATACAAACTAAAACCTAATCAAAACAAACTTGAATGTTGTACTAATATTATTTTACAGTGAATACAAACAGTTTGGTATGCTGTTAGATGTTTTGATTATTTGTAGAGGCAGAAATGAACAAATCTGACTAGTCAATAATAAGAAATAAAAGGTCGATAAGCAAAAATAAATAAAACTAGTAGGAGTGGGCGAGTATTTTTAGAAGTTATGTTGAGTAATGGAACAACTACTTGAATATCAAATTAAGGAAATAGTAAAAAATATTGGTTATAGTCTTTCAAATTAAGAATAGGTACTTATTCCTTATGTGTTACAAGCCTACTGGTTTACGTTTCAGACTTAGGTTCGAGAGAAAAGGTTCAATCCCCCATAGACACATAAATTTTACCCTTGAATCGCCAATGGCATAGACACGGTATAAGTCCAAATATCAGAATAAATTATGACCATATCACATTCGGATGGTTACAAATTTGGATGTTTCTAAAATTCAAGGTATTTTACAGTAAATAGAATGAGTCGAGCTGAGCTTTTACTATTGCAATTGCAGAACGTGTCTGTGAAGATTTTTAGTACAAAAATTTGCGCTTTCGCTGCAGTCTTGGATTATGATTCTTAATAACTGTGAGAGACAAAGATGATTCTACAAGACTGAGGAAGATATTCAAGATTTTGGCGAAATCGCAGAAAAAGACTTTGTTGTTTCCAAGACCGCGGTAGATGACGGTGATATCTACATCATCACCTTTGGTTTTGGATTTTGCCGCAATCACAGATTCTGCCTTCTTTAATAAGGATTCTTATTACTGTGCTTTTATGTATTTAAACTCTTTCTGTGATTGATTAGGATATAATCGGCGATGAATAGTTGGAGTTCTACTGTACTAAGAAAAAGGTGATTTTCCTAAATTAAATTGAGGTATTTTAAGCAGTTTAAAACAGCAAATTTACTAATACTCCATTGAAATTATAATTTAAACTGCTGATAATACCACTAGACTCTCTCAGCTTGTGTGTTTGTAAAAGGCCAAGTAAGTACTCAATACTCAAGTACTCGATAGTCAAATACTCGCCCACCCCTAAAAATTAGAACAGAGAGAAAGAGAGAGAGAGAGAGAGACAGGGATGCAAGTGTTTTACCTGTTCGTACTGAAGAGAAGCCGAGAGAGGGGAAGGGGAGCATGGGAGAGAATGAGTAATAAGTGGAAGGGGAGAGGGTGGGGGGCCAGACCCACAGGGAGGGGAAGATGATATCTGTCGTCTGTAGTCAACTCTCTACATGCAAAATAACACAACGTAAGTGAAACTGACAGCTACACAACAATAAAACTAAGGGTAAATAAATCAAAATAATGTATAGAAAATCTACAGAAACATAAAGAAACTAGAAATGTGAAGTTAATGATATATAACAAGCTCAAAATATTTTGTTTGAATTATCAGGATTATTCTAAAGGGAAAGAGTCCATAACACATCATACTGTCTTTGTCACTAACAACCATTTTCAACAAGAAAGTTTTGGGTTGGGAACAAAGATTGTATCTGAATATGTCTTCATATCTAATTGTGGCCATGATGTTGTACACAAATACTTCCTAGCAAAACAATTGGACCTGAAGACATATTTCTTTCCAATTAAAATGTTCTATATTTGCTTACAGATGACAGTTAAATGTTTTATTTTTATGTAATTTAAAAAGTTGTTGTGTTCCTTGCACCAGAATGTAATCTTTCCCATTCAGAAAAGCCTTTTACTATGAAAAAAATCAATACAAATTTAGTTTTTCTAACTGAGCAGTTAGTTTTTATACTAAATAACCCTAAAATACAATTAACTACTGTAATTGAACAGTTAGTACTGTATAAACCATTATTCCATCCCCAATTACCTATATTAAGATTAACCTAATGAAAATCACCCAAAATATGTATTTTATGTTATAGTGTCTTAATGAATAGCTATTCAAACTACAAATTAGTTATTTTGTTAGAAACCCATTTTACAGACAAAAGAATGATAGTGTTTAAATGCTTTACAAGATAGCCCATATTTTTGCTACTAGTGTACAATTTTTTCAACAAACCAAGGCATAAACAGAGAAATTATGATACAACTTTATTTAAAAAAGGTCAAAAATGTTATGGGTCAATGAACTATTTGAGTTTTTTTTTTTCACAAACCAATAAACAAGTGTAAGAAGTAAAAAATCAAGAGAATAAAATCTTTACTTAAATGATAGCAAGTTGAATACAAGAACTGAAATGACAGAAAAAAAAACATGCAAACAATAATGATGTTTCAAATAAATCTGTCGTAAACATCTTTGTAACATTAAGGTCCGTTGCAACTTTGTTTAAAAAATGTTGCCAAGTATGAAAGAAGAATACAAAGCGAGACAACACTACAGTTTCCTTACTGAAGTATAAAATACTGACCTCCGCTCGTTCCATAATAGGAGAATACAGGACTGGCGCGGGCGCTGGTGGATCTTTCTTCCTTTTCAACGAAGCGTGTTGCGTTTCTAATGGTAACGTAGTATTTATTCCTAAAGCTCCTGAAAAAACGTTGAACATCAGTCTCAACGTAATGTTGTTTTAGGGTTTACAAATTTACTTTTTATAAAGATATAAAGACAGGGGTTATTATAGTGATCAATCAATATATTAAATTTGATAAATGTTTATTAAACTGGTACCGGTATCGATATTAAGGATTGATACATTTTGGTATCAACACATTGAAATTTTGAAATTTAGAGACAGGCTGATTAGAAAAAGTTCTCTAAGATTTTTTTTAGGGGTGTGCGAATAGTGATTTTCAACCTCGAGCCGAGCCGAGCCGAGCTTTTTAAAAAATTTTCGAGCTCGAGCTTTTTCGAGCCGAGCTTTTCCTAGCGTCACCTTATCTAAGTTATTAAACTTTTTTTTCTTAAAAAAGTGCATAATAATAATAATGTTCTGTCAATTTTTAAATAAACACAATGTTATTTTAATATGTTTAAAAACGTTGAGAATTGTCAAGACATCAAATAGTAGATAATCACGATAAGAACTGAACTGAACTAAATTAAGATGCAAGAAATAAAAGGATATCGATTGAAGGCCTGACGAGATATGCAGTGCAGACTGAGACAATCAGATTGTCTTTCATAATTAACTATTTCTATTAATTAACGACTTTATAACTGTGTAAAAGGTGTGTATCCCTGAATTTATAAATTGCATTCTACACTTATTCACTGCCAAACATTATTCAGTAGAACCTTGATGAACTGAGAATTACACTAGCCTACATAACTTCATTACCCCAAGTATAATACCAAGATAATTTTTATAATTCTATTTGAATCGTATAATCTTAGTTTGTTAAAAATGGATTGTATGTTTAACAATAATTGCAGTCCATTATTGTTAAGCAGTATGGTCCCAAATTATTGTTTTTGATTTTGAAACATCACAGTTCATTTGACAAAATTATAGTTGAAGCAGCCAAATGTCAAGTCGCTTGTGCAATAGTTTGTTTACAAGCTTTCTCCAGACCACGGGGGAGGGGAGGGTCTGATAAGCCGTCTATTGTTCACCCCCAAGAAGGTCCGACCCTCATTAGTGCCGCTCGGCTGCACTCAGTGGGGAACCCAATACTGTACCCCAAATCAATCTTTTAAATTAATACAAATATTTGGTAATAATTGTTTTATTAATATTCACCTTGAAATTTCAATAAATTTGGAGTAAAATTTGACAAAAATCGGCCATTATTAATATTCACCTTGAAATTTCAATAAATTTGGTGTAAAATTTGACAAAAATCGGCCATTTTGACCGATTATTAATACAGTACCAAATACCAATAAAGTAGTACATTCATTGGTAATTAAATAATAGGTAAAAATTAACCGATTTTCGTCAAGTTTTACCCCCCTGCTGTGCGTTATGTCACAAAAGCTTATAAGGACATGGGTGATTAGTAACAATGGCAACTTGTTGAATGCGTGATGAAGGGAAACCCAAGAAATAGAAGAACAAAGAGTAAGAATAACGTGTTATCATTATACCTTTTTTACAATTTCCGTTATTGTTATCTGTATGTAAGATTTTATGATTTTGTTTTATAGATTTATAAAATAATTCTTTTTAACTACGGGAATATCAATTTATAATTTATCAACGTGCTTCTCTTCCGAAACAGCAATACCGGATGCATAATTAAGGTCGATGACCTAAAATATCACGATTGTGCAATATTGTATTTTGATGTTGAAATTAAAATCACGACAAAAGTTTGTATATATCCATGGTCCCTATAGTTTAATCATTTAATATGTACACAATCAATGCTAAATAATCGTGGTTAGTTCTAACTTTATTTTTTATTATTCAAAGTTTCTACACAGTAAGACAATCCAAAGTCAACCCGGGCAATGAATACCTAAAACACAACGTATCTTGTCCTGTGATTGGAATACCACTCGCCGGCCAGTCCTTTAGGTTTAGGGAAGTAGTGCAAGTCTATATATAGCTTCAAGGTCTTACCCACCCCTTCCCCCTCCGGTCCTACTTGACTCACTATACCCGCGCTCCTTTCAAGGTCATTGCCCAACCCCTCCCACCCTTCTTTTGTGTTGCCTTTCTATTGTTTCTATTCTGACTTTTTTTTGGGAAACATTAAATCTATTGTTTACGTAACTTCACAGTAGTAGGCTAGATTTTTCTACTTTGAATTTGAAACAGTACTGTAAAAAAACTATTACGCAGCGCCCCTAGTATCAGGAGGGAGACAAGCACGAGTTGACTTTCATTTGACCATGGTAGTTCTTTTCTGCTTTATGTCTGTTTGTTCCAGACGAATCTAATCGTAAAGCAAAACAGCCGATAACGACTCAGTATTGCATCATACAAGGCTTCTTTGCCGTTTGCTGTTAGGTCGTTGGAAACGTATTGCTGTAATTTTGTCCTGGGAAACTAATGGTGGCTATGGAGATTTAGTCTTTTGTCCAAAACGTCAAAATATATTGTCTATCCGAAAAGCCGGATATATAACGGATAGTGTCGGATATCGAATTTGGGCCCGGTTACCCGATTTTTCAGATATCCGCACACCCCTACTTTTAAACAAAATAAAATAGGTACAAAATTGTGTGACCAGTCAAACTTTATAAACAAACATTTTATTCTATAAAATATAGATGGTAAATAGGGGTTGGTTTAAAGGGAATAAAATACAAAACAGATTAATTATTTTGATAAACATTAGAAAGGTTATGGGTTTGATTGAACTAAAATAACCGCAGGGAATCTTATAAGTAGAAAAGTCGTCAACCACAATCTGTTTAATCAGTACACTGTTAGAGAGAGAGAGAGAGAGAGAAAGAGAGATAGCAGATAGGGGCGTTTGATAAGGAATCTGAAAAAGTAAACAAACAAGGAACAACGGCATGACGATACTCGTTTACAGCCTTATTGTGTCGCCCACTACATTTGCACACGTGACCACTTTTAGTTTCTTCCTTATCTTCCATCGGTCCCAAAATAGAATTCCTGAAATAGTTTGTTGGTATGATCTCCCCTCCCACACAAGGCGCAGTGCTCAGTGCGCACTGTAGGTTGCCACGGCAACCATGTGTCGTCATAGCGACGAGCCAATCACGCACTCGCACTGCGTTGTGTATTACGATACGAATAGCTGTGTTAGAAAGACAACGCGATAGGACAGGTGGTAGATTGTCTCTTTACTACTGTATCTCCTCAAAATTACGATCGATAATCATTGCGTCTTGACTGAGCTGAGGTTCGTGTTCGTGCTTATCAAACCTCGAATGCATGAACAACGTAGAATTGTGATAACATTGTTTTCAATTACGACCCAAATTAAGTGTTTTTTTAGTTTTGACTTAGTATTAAAAGCTCGGCTCGAACTTCGAGCTTTTTCAAAATGTCTCGAGCCGAGCCGAATAATGAAAAGCTCGACCAAAAAGCTCGAAGATTCGAGTACTCGCACACCCCTAATTTTTTTAAAGATATTCAAGCCGTCAATCGCATTTTGTATGACAGTTTTGTTAATTTTTTTTTTTGTTTTGTTTTTTATTGAGTCCTAAATGGCTACAAAATGTTGAACAGGACGAATAAATAAAGGATTTAATTTTGTTTGGACCTTGTGACTAAGGTGCATGTATTTCTCTTCGTTAGCATTCTTTTTTTTAAACTTCCTCAATAATCTTTTACTATGTGTAGCTTTTTTTGTGAGCAACACAAGAACGTTGACTTAGTAGGGAAAAAAAAGTTTCATTTTTGTATTGCCAGGGGGCAATACAAAAATGAAACTTTACAAGTGAAAAATATCCTATTTAACCTTAACTATAAATTATTTAATATTTCTATGAAAACTAGTTCTAATAGCTTTGAATTTAACATGCTTGCAATATAATCTATTGAAAAGTAAAAAAATATTGTATTCCTGCAAAGAATATATTACAAGCATAACATTTGGCAGTGCAATAATTTGTACAGAATGATTTTTACATTCTGGAATTATTTTTTGTACATATATAACATGTTTACAAACTAGCTTTTGTAATTAACGTCAAGAAATTTTACGATAGATTGCACTTTTTCAAAGCCAAGATTTAATAGTCTACTTTATCATGGAAGCGTACTTCTAATTTACAAAAAAAGTCATTTATCTTTCCTGATTCAGCTGAACACTACAATGTTAAAATAAATTGTAATCTAACATCTTTTTAGCAACTTGGAAAGCTAAACAAACACAGCTGCAGACGACAAACAGTCACAAACACGACACCGATCAATTATACGCATATTACCAGACAAGGTAGTAGCTAGACTATTACTTCTGGAGGTCTGCTGTTGTGACAGAGAGGTGACATTGGTGTTGTAGCCACTGGAGGCAGCCATACGAGACTCCAGACTGTCAACTACGTAGTCACTGACACGACCATCTACAAAAACACATATAATAGTCATAGTAGACAGGCAATACTATTTTTATTTTGGTTTATGTATGCAGTAGTTTAGTAAGGATCTGCAGAGTCCATGAAAGCTGGAACAGTATGACAAAAATTTGTCTGAAACAATAGGACAGACCTTTTGAGTGATAAAATGTAACTAAACAATTGTAATATAAATTGAACGAGACAATTTGTTTGATAAGAATGTAACCATCAATCTTACATCAAGTTAATACTGAGAATTTTATTTTCTGAGAGCATATTAGAACAAAACAAATCTCAATTCAAACCCTATGTAAAAATTTTACACTTGGATAGTAAGTCTACTTGCATTATCTGTATCCCAAGAAGGCCAACTTGCAGTATAGGCCTATGTATTTTAAGTATGTCTACTTAGTACTTACAGTACCTGTATCCTAAGTTGGCCTATTAGCAGTATGTGTATCCTAAGTAGGTCTAAGTACAGTATCTGTATCCTAAGTAGGCCTACTTGCAGTATCTTTATCTAAAGTCAAAATCACAACTAACCAGTTGGGTAACTTCTCTCCCAGTTGGCGTATCTGTACTGTTCTACAGTATCTAGATAGCTGGGCTCATCATGCAGGTACTCCTGGCTGCTGGAGTCGTCTTGGTTGCTCATCCCTTCGTCATCGGCAAACTCATCACTGTCGTACTCTACTCCTCCTTGTAGCAGCTGACCTGCGTCCTCCTCGTCCGAGTGTAGAGAATCTGCCTCCTCTACAAGACTGTCGCCGAATCTGTAGCAACCTGCGTAAAAATATTTGTAAGAATTTTTTCACTATAGAAACATATGGCTAGCTCTCTCCTTACTAATTGGCCGTTATAGTTTGCCACAAAAACGTATTGCAAGAAGGATATATGTACCATGGATTCCATCAAGCCAGTGATTTGTAAAAGTATTTGTTAGAAAAATGTTGTGAATGACAAATTGACAACAATCACATTGAATCATTAAATTAGCTGCATGAACACCAGCAACTACAATTTACTTAAGTTTGCCCAATACAGCAACTTAAAAAACAAGAAACAGCCTGCTGATCTAGTGCTGTTTGCTACATAAAGCTGTTTCATTGTGTTAGTTTTGAAATTAATTTGAACAAGTAAGTGTGGTTTGGAAATATCGTCATTAATTCAATTCAATTCAAAGATACTTTATTCACATATATACAAAAGTATACATGAATGGCGTTCAGAACAATACATCATACATTATATCGCCTAATAACTAGATAAAAAATAGATACATTATACATATATATAAAATAAATATTTAATTACTTAAATTAATTAATTTTGTTAAGGATCTGCAGACTTTTACTTTGGGTCAGGTCAAAATTTTTGCCCGAGACCCAAGAAAGAGTTTATTTCCTAAAATGTTAATTGAAATACTACAATGGGCTTAAACATAATATTATACATGATCTTCCCTATATTGCGAAGAAATGATTAAGATCTTCCGTGTTCACAACAAGATCACAAACATCTTCCACGGTCACTGAAAAATCCTAAGCATCAGATAGTCATAGCATAATTAAATACATCTCCCACTATATTGACAAAATTGTCTTACATGGTTACAGAAAAATGATGTACATCATGAACATCAGCACTATTCTCAGAGAAGCCTACCTGACAGTTTAGCCTGTTCTAGTATATACTGCTGTAGGGGTAGAAGGTGTTCCTGCATCTCAGGCTCCAGTATGAACCCTCCCACCCCTACTGGCTGGTTGGAGTACACTGGTGAGGAGTCAGTTTTGTTGTCCACCCTTGGACACAGTGTCAAGCTGTGATTGCCGTTGTTCTTCAGCACAGCTCGTCTGTTGTGCAGCGAGTTGTTGTGTCGCTCCTCCACGTTGTTGAACGTTGGTCGTTTCAGAACTGTTGAACAAAAAAGTAGAGTTTAGGCCTATAACTTTAGTTTTGCAAAATCTATGTTCATTTAAGGCCATCTAACTAATATTTATTAAAATTCATGATGTAGCCCCTGAACTGTTTAATTAGACTAATATGAGGTACATAACAGTTCCATTTTGACTTAAGTGGAACTCACTACATGTTTCGCCTATTCAGGCATCATCAGGTGATATCCTAGCAAGAATGCTTTGTCTTCATCCATGATGGGGTCGTCAAGAAACATTTAAATAAATACACACACATTACGCACGAAAACATTTAACAATTAATTAGTAGGCCTACTATTATCGGTGCGCGCCTACTATAATTCCAGCATGTTCAGTCTGCCTCCGTACCGCGACCAATAATAGTAGGCCTACTAGTTAATTGTTAAATGTTTTCGTGCGTAATGTGTTTGTATTTATTTAAATGTTTCTTGACGACCCCATCATGGATGAAGACAAAGCATTCTTGCTAGGATATCACCTGACGATGCCTGAATAGGCGAAACATGTAGTGAGTTCCACTTACAACAAAATTGAACTGTTGACGTAAAGGTATGTACCTCATATTAGTAATATTTATTCAACAACATACTACTAACATTACTAACAGCCTCAAAAATGAATGAACTACTATGGCATGCATTATGTTTTAGATAATGTAAATTAATGTTTCATATTTAAGATACTGGTCAATGCTGCAACATTGCATAATCAACCTTGCATTCTTACAATTCATCTAATACAAATCTTTATCCTCAGACAGGATTCCAATAATGTTTGAGTTTTTTCTTTCAGAACAAAAATCTTACGTTACCCAAATTGAGATCACAAAAGATGTATTCAGTGTTGTTATGATTGCAGGAGATGATGACAATGTTGTGGCAATCCTTGCCTACCAGTTTTCAAAATCTACTGGATTTGACCACTAATTTGCAGTGCTTATACGTTGTCTTAAATCATGATACCTTTGTCGTTGTGTTCGTTGGTAGCAGTGTCCGGATGTAGCAGTGGCTGTGTTCTAGGACTAGAGGACACACTGGTGCTTGAGTCATTCTCATTATCACTACTTGACAGTCCTGCCTCTCTGTCTCTGTAAACACATAAACTGATAAGAATCACGAGTAAACTTAATAGACGATAAGCAATAGCTTCGTGAACCTTAACAGGTATAAACCAAAATGGCTTGTTGTAGACAATGCTTAACAACATCTGTCACTAAATGGCCAGATACATTTATATTATGATAATTTTGTGTACCAACTTACGTCAGTGATACTTCGTCCAAAGCTCAACCACTTGATGATGCCAACAACAAAAATTGAGTTACTATTTCATTTTATGTACCATTAGGAAATTTGATTTGGTAAATTTTAAGGTAAAAAAATCCTGTTTTCATTTAGAAAAAAGCTGTATTTTTGGAGGTTTAAAGATATTTTGAAACAACAATTAACTAACCACGTTGATGCCCTTTTGAGTATACTGGTGAAGAATTCAGGCTCTTAATGAAGACACTAATACGATAGGTAGCCTGGTTGTACCGGTTCTCAAGTTCTTATTGCGAATTTGAGAACCAGTACAATCCAACCATAATAAATCGGTTAATGAGTGGGGCGTTATGCGATTATATTAAAATCTGCTACCCGTGTGATCTTTGACAGAGTGGAGGGATTAAGGGGGTTAAAATCCCCCAAATGTTTCTAGAAATACAGTAAGCTGCCTGACTAGTCTAAAAATACTTATTTTGAAATTAAAAATTCTTGAAAGAATGCATTGTTTAGTTAAAGTATGTTTTTTTTTCTCACTAAACTCTTAAAGGAGTATGTAAATAAATATAGGATGGAGAGGACACAGCTAACTCACCTGATGAAAGGTTGCAGATGAGTCAAAGAACACATAAAATCACACACATAATTTACTTAATATTTCGCCTCTTTCAGAGGCGAAATATTAAGTAAATTATGTGTGTGATTTTATGTGTTCTTTGACTCATCTGCAACCTTTCATCAGGTGAGTTAGCTGTGTCCTCTCCATCCTATATTTATTTATTTAATCCAAGCTAAATGCTTTTTCCTAAAAACATAACCTTAAAGGAGTATGTGTAATTTAATGTTAAAATTTTGCACAATTTCTCAAAAAGAAGCCATCTGACCTCCTGTCTAAAAATATTCCTTGATCTGCCCTTGCACCCTATACCCTCATCTAGTAGTACCAACCTGGTAACAATATGTGCAGGTTGCAGACGGTGGGCATTGGCTAACGTAGAGGAGTTGGAGGAAGACGAATGGGAGTGTCTTGATTGTGGAGGTGGAGGGGGAACACTGCTGGCGAGGTTGGCATAGTCTGGGCTCAGCTTGGGACATCTGTGTTGGTGTTTCCTGCGCGCCTGCGAACATAACACCTAGTTAGGTTATGTACAAAAACCACTAAATATAAAAACAATACAACTTTTATGTTCAAGGTTTCCTCATTATAATTTTTTTCAGTAGATAAAAAAGTTAACTTAAGTTCTATATGAAACTAAGCTATAACATAAAGAAGTTTGTTACTAAACTTATCTATGTACACAAAATGGCAAACGTTTTTCTGGGTCAATTGATTGATTTGACTAGACACAAGAAGCTTTCCATGACCAAGAAAAAAATAGCTTATTCCCAATATGGGAAATTCGCTAAAAGCTTGAAAAAAATTATTTCTGGCCCAATTCCTCAGACCAGGTTTGGCCTGATCTGGAAATATCAGGTAACCGCGGACCTTTCAACAGTGAATTCGTTACCTGAGGTGTAGACTCGACAGATCTTCGTCCACTAGACAGTTGTGTGTTCCCAGACAAGAAGTACTTCTCATGCATGGAGTCCTCCTCCTCCTGGTCCAGGGAGAGTGTAGAGGACACTGACAGAGGTGCGGTCTGAACAAACATATTGTAGTTTACCACTTTAGTAGACATACAATTTTTTAAACAATTTGTTTTATTTCAGTTGGAATTAATAAGTACTATGTAGAATGTAAACCCTCCCCTTTAGTCCTAGCTCTAACAGGGGAACCGAGCCTCAGGTATAGGGCGGGTCGCAGGTGGCGGATGGCGAACGTTCCATCAGATATGGTGGACAGCTGCGAATAAGGGGTAACCCGAATAAGCAGTCCCGGACCGAGGCGGCAGCACCAGAGGGCGTGGGAGGGTGATCTGTGGCAGGGTCACACTCAGCAAGTCCACATGAGCCCGATGATAGTGCTGTGTCATGGCGAGGAAGTGCCGCCATCAAATAAGCACTGCCCGTACTGCCTTGTACGACAGGGTTTGGGTACCCAAAGGCTAGGAGAAGGATACTCCGATGTAACACCGAGGTCAGGTTAGGATCTTGGAGCTGCAGTGGAAGCCACTAACCTAGGAGAAGGTGACTCCAAAATCAAAACCCTGGTCCTCCAGGTTGGGGGTTGGGCGTAGGACCGACAACCCTACCCTGGAAAAATCGCTTGTTCAGCAACGCCAACAAAATGCCTCGGACCATGATGGAACTCCTGGAAAACGACCCCTGCTCAGAAATAAGGACTTGAGACTTGGAACTTGGAACGTAAGGACCCTGGCTGTGCCTGGCAAAATAGATATTTTGAGTGAAGAACTAAAAGAATATAACATTGATATAGCAGCCTTACAAGAGACAAAGTGGCCATTTTGTGGCAAACTTAATACAGATAGTTACCAAATACTATATAGCGGCTGTGACGATGGCAGACACTACGCAGGTGTAGGTTTTGCCATAAGAAGACAGTTACTAGAATCTGTGATATGTTATAAAGCTTTAAATGAAAGAATTTGTTACCTTAGGTTAAGAGGAAAATTTAATAATTTATCTGTGATTAGTTACTATGCGCCAACGGAAGAAAGTAATGATGAGGATAAAGACAATTTTTATACACAACTAGAAGAATTAGTTACCGATATTTCAGATTATGATACGCTTATAATGTTAGGAGATGCAAATGCCAAAATAGGTAGAGAAGATATATGGAAAAGTGTAGCTGGAAAAGAAAGCTTACATGAAGAAAGTAATGAAAATGGTGTAAGGTTACTAAGTTTTGCTTGCTCCACAGACTTATTCATAGCAAGTACTAAATTTCCTAGAAAAAATATCTACAAACAAACCTGGGTATCACCTGATGGACACACGGTAAACCAAATAGACCATGTCCTAGTAGATAAAAGACATCTGAGCTCAGTTACCCAGGTAAGAAGCCTAAGGGGAGCAGAATGTGGCACTGATCACTATTTAGTCTTAATAAAAGTAAAACAAAAATTAAAAATAGAAAAGAGAAAAAAGAATAAAGCTGAAGAAAGAATATTGTTTGAACCAAACAAGATAAATGAATACCAAATCGAACTGAAGAATAGGTTTTCTGTGTTAGCACAAGACACCGGAGAGGATGTAGAAAGAGTATGGGAAACCATTAAGAAAGGGGTCAAAGAATCAGCTGAAACAGTCTTTGAAAAAAGTAAGATTATTAAAAAACCATGGTTTAACGAAGAATGCCAAAAACTTGTTCAAGAAAGAAGACAAACAAAAAAGAAAACTCTCGCAGATAACACGGCGGAGTCAAAGGCAAGATACCAACTCCTAAATAGAGAAGTAAACAAAACACTAAGAAGAGAAAAAAGAAAGTATGTAAACAACACTCTACTACGAGCAGAACAGGACTGCAACCAAAATAACTCTAAAGACTTCTACAGAAGAATTAGGTTTTTCCAAAAAGGTTTTAAACCAAATGTAATAGGCGTGAAAAATCGATATGGAATAGTAACATGTGAGCCAACTGAAGTTTTAAAAACTTGGAAAGAGTACTTTTGTGAACTATTAAACTGTAATGAAGATGAAGCAAGGAATATTGAAGATGAAGTTTTGGCAGAGGAGGAAGAAGATCAAGGAATCGAAGAAATTCCTTGTGCTGAGCCCACAATACAAGAAATAAAGGATGTTTTAAAAACATTCAAAAATGGCAAAGCTCCTGGTGAAGATGCGATCCCAATAGAATTAATGAAAAATGGAACCGAAGAACTTTTCATCCATCTACACAAACTGATTCTACAAGTATGGAAAAGCGAGAAAATGCCAAAAGAGTGGACTGAAGCAGTAATAGTCCCACTGCACAAAAAAGGGGACAAATTAGAATGCAAAAATTATAGAGGTATATCCCTTATAAATACAACATACAAAATACTATCTAAACTTATCTTAAACAGACTCAAAGGCCATGTAGAAGAAATAGTAGGAGACCACCAAGCAGGTTTTATGAAAGGGAGATCAACAACAGACCAAATATTTATTCTAAAACAAATAACCTCAAAGTATTGGGAATACAACAAGGATATATATGTAATGTTTGTTGATTTTAGCAAAGCTTACGACTCAATAAACAGACATAAACTGTGGAAGATGATGAAAAAGTATGGAGTACCTAATAAAATAATTCAGTTGGCAAAAATGTGTTTAAACGAATCCAAAGGGAAAGTAAAAATAGGGAAAGAATATACAGATACATTTAATATAAATACCGGAGTGAGACAAGGTGATGGTCTATCGCCATTATTATTCAATATAGCACTAGAAGAAGCTCTCAAGAAAACAAGAAATAGTGAAGGAGGGGCAAGACTTACTGATAAAATAAACCTTCTAGCATTCGCAGATGATGTAGCCATTGTAGCTGAAAACAAAAATAATCTCAAAGTGCTAACAGAAGTACTAATTAAAGAAGCAAGAAAAGTGGGTTTACAAATAAATGAAAACAAAACCAACTACATGAAAATAAGTAGGCAAGATGACGAGGAAGACCACTTAGAAGTATTAAACTATAGGTTCCAGAAAACTAGTATTTTTAAGTATTTGGGAGTGATGATCACAAATAATAATAGAGAAGAAATAGAAATTCAGAGCAGACTCACAGCAGCAGAAAGATCATACTGGAGTTTAATAAAATTATTCAAAAGCAAACTGCAATCAAAATCCACTAAAATAAGAATGTATAAAACTATAGTGCAACCTGTATTGCTATACGGGTCAGAAACTTGGTCTTTTACCAAAAAATCCCAGAAGCGCCTTATTACTTTTGAAAACAAAATTTTGAGAAGAATTTTTGGACCAGTAAAAGAAGGAAATGCATGGAGGATAAGGAAAAATAGAGAGTTAAAAGAATTATATGGTGAACCAGATATTGTGGGAATAGTTAAGAGTAGGAGGTTGAGATGGATGGGCCATATTAACCGTAGAAGTGAGAGAGAGATGGTAAAGAGGGTACTCAGAGGTATACCAGAAGGAAGGAGACCATTAGGTAGACCAAGAATGCGATGGGTTGATGAGGTGACGAAGGACTTGAGAGGAATGGGAGCAGACTTGGAGCTGGCAGAGGATAGAAGAGCTTGGAGGCACATGGTTGGCGAGGCCAAAAACCACCTAGGTTTCCAATGGCCACAGGAGTAAGAGTAAGTATGTAGAATGTAAAATTGTTGTGTTGATGAACTTAGGTGTTCTGAATTTGGGAAATAAATAATATAGTAATAATAGTAAAGGAAATGTCTTGATGGTATGTATCAAATTTGAATTAATAGCAAAATGATTAGAAAAAAGAAATTATTTAGAAGGGAGGAAGAAGAAAAGAAGAATGAGGTGCAAGAGACACTCTCACATGAGGGATAAGTGAAGAGGATTACGAATATGGAAGAGATAAAAGGAAAAATAATAAGGGAATGAGGAGGCAAGAGGAAGAATAATGAGGAAGAGGAATAACAAAGAAGTATGAGGAAGTGTAAAGAGGAAGATGAATAAGATTAACCAGTAAGAGTAATGAAGAGTAATTATGAAGAATAATAAGGGGGGTTAATGAGGAAGGTTAATGATGCAGATTAATGGGAAAAGGGAATGAAGAAGGGTAATGAGGTATATTAATGAGGATGATTAAAAAGGAAGATAAATTAGGAAGGGGAATTATAGAAAACAAGCACTAACTATGTATTCAAACAATTAATTATGTAGGCCTATATCACAACTTCTATATATATAATACGCTAAGCCGATTTTTGTAAACAGAACTCCTCCCTCATTTTTAGACCGATTTAATGGCCCTGATCTGTAGTTTTGCAAAGTCTTTTTATTTTTTTGAAATCTTTATTAGTTCTTGCTGGACCTTCCATTAAAAATGGGTTTTCTCCCATAAGATTAACATGGGGGAATCTGAATATTTAATTGGAATCTTTGTCTCCACTAATTTAAGAGAACGGCTGGGCGTAGAAACTTGGTAGAGGTGTCCAAAGAAAGGTCTTGGTCTGTAGACGAGTTATCAAAAGAAAAACAAAGTAAATTCCCTTAGGGCTCTGCCCCAGAAGCCTTTAAAAGATACCTTCACAGATTCGTTTACATTTTGGCCATGTGGATATTTTAATACTTTTTAACGAACAGCTGTTAATTTTTAAATCTATACTTATTTAATACGCAAGCAGGATTTTTGTGACAATTACTCCTCCGAAACTACTGAACCGATTGCCATGTTTTTGGTGTCATTGGAAAGAGCGTATCGTGAATTTGTGCAGGAAACTTTCTTTTTAGGAAAATAATTAGAGAGTGAGGCCCTGGGACCCTTTAAAGTTTCGTATTTCTTTATAAGATTAACATGTGAAACAAACATTGTTTTGAAACTCCAGCTGTTGTCAGAAATTCAATATTAATAATAATTGGTCTCCATGGAAGCATGAGAAAATTCACAATGTTTACATTTGCTTTGACATTTAAATGTAAACAACCAGAACTGTCAAATGCCTTTTTAACAATTTCAGCCAGCTGATCCAAAAAAATAAAACAACTATGTGGCAGGTTTATTTAATCTTAAACTTTATGATAGATTATTTTTATTATAAATCCATGTCAATGATTATGAAACAGATTTTTCCCGTTGCAAAAATTAATAGTGAGTAAAAGAGGATATGTTAATTGTAAACAGTCAATGTGTAAATTATCTATATGTTGTATTACAAATTTTAAAAAAGATGTTAGTTTGTGTTTAATGATATAAGTTATTAATTATAGAATTTTTATTTTAAGGATTTGGCATATGAGTAAGCCTATGATAAATAACACCATTTCAGAGTTCTGCCAGTGTTTACCTAACTCTGTCATGTAGAGTTTAACGTAGCCTACACCTTATTGTCTACAAATTGGCTAAAAAACTTAGGTACGGTACTTTATAAAAGCTGACAGCCTTTTACGTTGACTTAAATTGTAAGCTTACCTTTTCCCGTCCATGGACAGTTTGATTGTTTAAAATTAACCCTTTAAACTGGAATAGGACTGTTATGTAAATTGTGAGTATTCCCATTAGTTATTAATCTTTTAGTTGTCTCTTTTAAAATCAATGGAAATTATGACTGTTTTAGTTTTTAAACAAGTTATTTGTTTATAAATAACTCCTGTACTTATTTGCAATTGCTCGATTTCGAGCAACATGTACACTAGTTGTATTTTAAACAACACACAATTATTGGTTACTGAATTATCCAAAGGAAGATTTTTTGCAATTTTAATTTTTTGAACTCTTAGAGAGCCTTTGAATGTTATTAGGCTAACAAAAAAGGGTTGTGCCTGTTTACTAGCGCTACTCAGCAACAAAAACAATAATTTAATTTATCTCTAAAAAATATATTCTTAAAGTGCACTGAGCAGCGGCCTAAAAAATACTATGTAACTTCCTCATATAGTTACAAAATGCTCAAACTCGCATTGTGAAATTTATGATTCGGCGTATATTTCTCCAACAGTGTGCTCTTATCGTGTCTAATAACATCCAAACACAAAAACCATGCCTAAGATAATACCTATCTTGACAAACTATTTACAGTGGCCTATTTGCCTATATTACGGACAGTGGCCCACTGGGTTGGTAACATTATTGAAAGTAAACACAATATTTTGGCTGTAAGAGTAAATACTATTTATATAAGCAGCTACTGTCATGACAGAAATGTCATATTCCTTTTAAACTAGATCACATTATCCTTTATAAAATACGTTGATTAACGATGCATGTAAACGTCAATATTTACGTAACAGCCAATTTACAGTATGTTTTCTCTTTGGAAATGGCACATTGCTATTTCATTTTGCATTATTTGTTGCCAATGAAGCCACAAGACCATATAAACGAGGAGGCCCCTAACCGTCGATTTCGACGGGTTTCACCTAGTAGTATTTATTTTAGTAGGTATTGTATATTTTATGTTCCTATGTGTATTGGCTATGCCATTGAAAGATGAGAGGAAGAATAGAGAACAACGATCATGTTAATATAAATTGTTTCAATTGATGTTATGTATACTCACAACAGGTTGAGGGGTGGTCTGACTACGACTCCTGGACAGATGTTGGTTTGACTGACTGTTGGACAGTGCAGGTCGTGTCCTAGACACACTTCCAGTGTTGCGGTTCTCATGTCCTAGGCTGTAGCCTCCACCCACACCTGTAAAAATAGATCCGGGTTGTAATTGGTTGCTTTACCCATGTTTCCAATCCAGACACAATGTTTTTATAGGCAGGTATTGTTTTTGCAATATATTGTTCAAAGGCTAGATACAAATGTTATTTCTAACTTATACGAAGTGTGCCTTTGTGCTTGAAAGCTCAAAATTTTACAGAAATCAGTAATTAACATCCGCACACTTTGTCGGCCAAATTGAACATTGTTAATTTTAATTTTAAAACTGGCTACAACTCTAATATAAGAACTTATATCAACAATCAGAGATATTGCTAACTGATCACTCACTGATATCAATATCAAAGCTCTTCTGCTTGGCAGGCAGATGTGCGGCGTTGGAAGCACTCCTCTGCACCGAAACACCAGGTCGTCGCTCCTGCGTCTGCCGCTCGGGCTGCGCATTGGCATCGCTGAGAGGTTTCTTCTTCAGCACCGGAGTGGACGTGGACAGCGTCAGACCACTTGACGGAGAGTGTTTGAGCCCGTGGTTAGGCGACTCTAGTGGCTTGACTGAAGACTCCAGGGAGTTGCGGCTCAACGAAACACAACTGGAGTCACTCGACCGTCCCGACTCTTGCACTGGGCCAGTCTGGAAAATTGCAGTGAAATGTAGTTTTTAATTACATTGAAACTACCGTACTGCTTATATTGAAAAGATTAATTGTTTGGTTTAGTGTGTTAAGGAGGTTTTGATTAATAAGGTGAAGATTGTAAGTGGTGAAGTGGGAGATTGCAGATGGTGGATAAGGACGGACTGTGAAAGGAGAAGATGGAAAGGCTTAGTTGAAGACAAGAACTGAGAATGTAACGTGGAAATAGATAGGCTTTACAATGGATCCTATTAGGTGAATCACACTGCTAGTCTAACTTTAACTTTTTGACTTGTTTTATATTGTTCTCTTGTCCCAAATTGGGGATTTTTAGAGATTCTCTATGAGTATAAACGGTAAATCCCTCAATTACCTCATTTTAAAAGTCCCATCTCGGAGTATTATAATACATAGAATTTGTTTATCTATAGTGGTAGTACAAAATGACACACAGTACTATGGTATTTATTTCAATTTGCTTTAAATGACATTTTTAGATTTTCCTTACTTAGGAGTTCAACATTATACAAATTCTAAGCAGTTAAAACAAATAAAACAAATATATTAAATGTCATTGAGGAACTGGATGTGAAGTAACTTATACTGGAGAATTAGAGAGCTCAGGAACCTATCCATAAGATCAGATATTCTGACGGTGTTAAACAATTTGGTGGCTTGGTTATGTATCTATGTAATAGAGGAAAATGCTGTACAAGAAGTGTAAAAAAATTGTATACCAAAGGGAGGTGTCAGATGTGCAAAAAGACCATATGTGATTAACATGGACTGACAAAATAGTTGAAGATGTAAAAACTAGAAGTTGAAATTGCTAACGCAAAATCTAAAATAGAAAAGTAAACATAAGTAAGAGTTTCAATAAAACAAAACAAGACAGAATATCATAAAAGTGGATTTTTACGCTGAAAACAAATTATATTTAAAACAAGTGGCAAGAGAGAGGAGCTTTAACGATGGATACAAGGGACGATATTGAAACTGGTAAATCAATAATGATGCTATAGAGCAGTAACAGTCAACTAACCTGTGTCTGAGTCGTCCTGTGGTACCAGGACCCGTGACTGCCTCGCCTTGGTCGTCCGTCTCTGTCAGCCGCCCCTGTAGACGGCATCCTGCTGGGTGTGTGAGTCTGAGCAGCCTGCTGTGATGTATGTTGATGCCTGCAACCACAACTACACTCTTGCATCAAACTGTCAATAGATTAATTAATGAATAAATTGTTTCCATTACTTATCCTAAATGAATGGGATTGTTAAAAATATAAGTAACAGTTTTAATAAGTTGTTGGTCTGTTGGAAAAACTATCGGTCTTGAAAAAACCGGCATCATCTCCAGCTGTCTTGGTGGAATCACCATCATCTACCACAATGGACATCACTATCATCTTCTGTGATCGCGGCAACATAGTAAATTTTGGTCACAATCATTGCTGATGAAGCATTCTACAATTTTAAAAGCCTTCCTAAATAGTTGCCGCAATTTAAGACTGTGTGGCAAAATGTGACCATAGCTTGAACCCACTTTTTTTACATTTTTGTAAGATAACCATGACTATTACATCACTCATCTTACTTACTTACTCCCTCGACCTGATTGACCAGGTCTTGCTGGATAGACTGAGTCAAAAAGGTAAACTATAGATAGGTAGCATGACAAATACAACAAAACAAATACCTACATAACTTGGTACATTAGTATTATACCGATCAGACGGATAAATCAACTTCCAAATAAGATTTTAATTAGTTCAAAAACATTTCTTGCTAATCTATCCAAGCCTAAAACATAGTCCACCCTTAGGTTGGGTTATAATTATTATTAGGTGTGGTCAGTATAATACCAAAGTTTAAAATCAAACATAAACTGATAATAGCTGTACCTATGATGGTGATGATGGTGGTGAGACCGTCGAGATGTCCGAGGGGAAGCTGGGGGTGAGGTCTGTGTCTGGGTCTCTGTAGCTACTCGGCCACTCCCACTAGACTGTCGGCCACTCTCGACTGTATCTTGACTCTGAGACAAACAGTACAGGGACTATTAGGTTACAAAGTTTAGAAAGAATGAAGATCTGGGTGTCAAAAACATTTGCCAATCCATAAAAAGGTAAACTCTCAGGTGATTCATAAAGCTGATAAATCTATGAGGGGTATGAATCTATGATATTAATCTACATCTCTAACTCCCATTTGTATCCAAGAAGGTATTTGGTTTCTTCTGATCTCGTCTTCTTCATTGGATTTCAATACTCTCACAATTTTGACCACTTCTTCTGAACACAATATTTTAACCTCTTATGAACTAGAAGAGAATGGTAGCCTAGACTCTTAAAATTGAGGGTTGGTGACTATACTGACAACATGCCCCTTATAAACACATTGTCACATTTTTGCTGAGCTAGTGCATCAGAACACAATAGTACCATGGGCAATGGCACGGCTTAGAACAAAAGGAAGATAAGATTTGTAACATGAAACGTTCAAAGGTTAGCTGTACCTGGGGCAAAAGATATTCAATTAAGGGGACTTAGGAAAAACCTGGATGATATTAAGACATTTTCAATGTTTAAATATCTACACTTTTTTTGTACTAAGGACGCTAGGCACGAGCCTGGGATTGTTTTTCACATTACTTGAGGCTAGACCTAGGGGTTGCGGCATTATCACTTAGATAAAATCCATTGGTGACTTGGCGGGGATCGAACCCGGGACCTCAGGGACTGAAGTCCCGTGCTCTAACCACTACGCCAGCTCGCTCCCCAAAATAATAAATAAATAAATATCTACACTACACCTTGTACAAAGCAAAGTTATGAATAAGTTACCTTAGTAGAATGTGCATGATGAGTGCGGGACCGACCAGGAGTCTGCGTAGCGACTGATTCTTTGGGTTTGTGAGAATTAGATTCATTGGCCTCATCTTGAACAACAGGCTCTGTGTTTTGTTTCAGTGTCTGTAATATTACAATCAAAATCAGGTTAAATATCTACGTTTCTCTTAAATACTAGAATTATTAAGTACATTTGTATAATGATTGACACTAAAACTAACGGAACTCCTAGGTAGACAATGTATGAGGAAGTCATTTTTTAGAATAAGTCTCAAAAGGTTGTCAAAATCAGCAAGAATAAAGACTCAACTTCTGATAAAGGATCTAGTAGCTCTGAAAATCCCATGTTTTATGTGTTTATTTGTGTATTTTCTACTATTTTCATCAGTATGGTGAGCCGTCTGTTAAGCCCATACTATGAACAATTAATAGTAGGTACTTCACTGTCGCTGCCAGCAAGTTCAACCAAAAAAGACATAAGTTTTAACATTATTAGAATATATAGAACATAGAAAATGAATAGAATATATAGAATTATTGGGTATAACTTAATGTTTGTATGTATTCTTGTGCCAGGATGAACTCTTCCCCTTCAAACAAGCCTGCTAACCCAATGACATAAATCAATCAATTCTTTAACACAGCAACCTGGGCAATGTTGGACTTTGGGCTGTACACCAGAGACTAGTGCCACACTTAAGTGTAGGCCATTTTCTCTTTACCTTACTTTTCTGTGCGGCAAAACATACTTGGATGCAAATTTTAAGCCATTTGTAAATTATGGGTACTGTAGAATGGAGTAAGACGATTTGTATAGCTTTGTAAATTGTTACTACAGGTTAGATGGGTCTTTAGCCAGAACCATTTTTTTTAATGCCAATGATCAAGGACAGTTGGGTTCAGTTTTGTACCATCAAAAAGACCTTCTGATTACCAGGCGAGCTTTATAACTACTTAACCACCCAACAACAACTCCATAATCATTGGTAAAGGTTAATGGTGTACTACAACAGCAAAGCACGGGTAAAACTACTAACCTGCAACTTAGCCAGAGGTATGATGTCACAGTTCTGCGGCCTATGCCACACTGTCTTCTGCGAGGTGGCGTTGTAGTAGTAGAACCTGCTGGTGTTTTGGTCAAACAGTTCCCACCACTGGTTGTTGTCAGTCTTCTTACTGCAATATCAAAATCAGTCTAGTTAAACATATTAGGTTAAACTTGAATTCACTAGAGGTAGCTCAGGAGTTGAGTATCTGGGATCAGGGTCCAAAAATGTTATGGCACAGACATGGCAAGAAGTTCAACGTCAACACACATTGTGACTTATCCACCTCAACTATTGTGAAGCATCACTTCAATGTATTGGACCAAAATTGTATAACTTAGTTCCTGGTCATTTAAAAAAAACATCAGCATTCCAAATAGAAAAAAGCAAAAAACTTAAAGACTGGTTGCAGACAAAAACATTTTACAGCCTGTTTAAATGAATTGTTGAGTAGAAATTAGGAGGTTTAATAGTTAAAATTTGTTTTATTTGTAATATTTAGCTTTAAGTAATAATACTGTATAGACAAATGTCCTGTCATTTTATGGTGAAATGAAATTCTGTGAATAAATGGAATTGTATTTTAAGACAAACAATCATATTGAAAAATCTAGAAGTGACATCATTCTTGTTTGCGTGGAATTGTGTTAATTGAAGTTGATTGATGACGGTAATTAAACACATGGGTAATGTAGCACAACTCGCGCCGTAGCTAATTAATTCCACATACATCTTTCAAGATAACACAATTTTCAAAATATTATTTGCAGCCTAAAAATTTAGGCTACTGACTTTATTTAAACAATACCTAATGTATTTCCTATCCGTATAATGAAATTAGTACCTATAAACACTTAACAAAAAATACTTTTTCATATTTTGCCTTGAAAATCTATTGTTAGGATTCGGAGAACTCGGATGGTGTATGAGGTTGGAATCAAACCATTCAATGTGCATGTAACATTTTCCTGGTGTTTGTGCAAAAAACTTGACATTTTGGATTTTTTTTATGCTCAAAATACTGAGACCTGTAATCACTGCTCTTACAAAAAGATTGACTGTAACCTTTTGACTATTACTGGAAGCAGGCATGCCATCCCCTTGTTAAAGTTGGGGCCAGTTTTAGAAAAAAATATGTGTACTTTATTAGTTTGGCTAAGCCATCAACAGACAGTACTGATTACAATTGCTGATGTATGTAAAATACGCCAACATGTTTAAAACAAACAAAAGCATATCTAAACCTCAATGGTGTAACATATGGTCAAGAAAGCTTATAAAATGGAGCTATTTTTAACATATTTGGCCACCTTCTTGTATACAGGGTGTATAAAAATGCAATAAACCAATGTTTTTTTTATTTATTTTTTTATTTTTATCAAACACCTTAATTTTTGTCTTTGAATCTAATGGAGTTTTTACAACTGATCCTCCATAATTTTCTATCAGCCTATTCTTATTCCAAATTTAATATAGAACACGAAAATGACATTATCTACTCAAATCCATTTACAGGTAATTGAGAAATTGCTGTATTAACTTTAAAAACATGGTTATTTTTTTTAACTTAAAATAATTCTTTGGGAAGCCAATTTTTACACTTGGAACCTCTTATATGCATCATCACACTTCATTTACTTTGTACTTACACAAAAAAAATTGGTCACACTGATTACCAATCACCCTGTAGATAGGCCTTACTTCAGCATCCAAGTCAGTTATACAAATTGAGTTTTGTTTCTATAGTCAATAGAGTGTGGTGTAACTTTTTTTTTTACAGCCGTTTTTAATGCATGTGTTGTGGGTCTAAAGTACCATTTTTACTCCCTAGGGATTAAAAATAGTTTTTGGCCCCTGGGGAGTAAAAATCAGCTGTTGTCAACTCAGTTGTAAATTTCGATTGTAAACAAAGGCATGAATCGGAAGTATGTATCGATTGTTTAATCGATTGTAGTTAATAGTAGCCTTAAATAGTTCAACATATCGATAGTATAATGTATACTAACACAATCATAACAGACGAAACTATTGAATCACTTACTAAACAGCTGTTTGTTTTCATTAGCAAATTAAATTTAAAAAGCTAGAAGTCGTTTTCGAGAGGTTATGTTTAAGTGAAAACTATTTAATTTTTGTGTCTTTTCAACGTCTCGACTTTGCCTCTATCGTAAAAACTTAAGCTCATGTTAAAGATACAGTCACTTTAGGCTCCAGTGATTAAATATACTATTTTCACCCTAGAACCATACCTACTCTTCTATGTCTTCTATCGCAAAGGACCTTATGCAATATAAACCCTGAAATAATCAAAAATACTCACACAGGCACCCCTTTGGGTGGGTCCCAGACGCACTCGCCTGTAGTTAGGTTGGCATACATGTGCTCCTTGGTCCGAGGCTCTATGATCTCCACCCACTCCATTCTGCATCAACACATCAAGGAATCATAACATCGGTACAGATATACTGATAAAGTAATAAGTACACCAGTGGTGAGTCGGTGGCTTAGTCGGCTTACGGAGAAAATTGCAAAAAAACTTTAAATTTAAAATTTCCAAGTTCATGGATACTTTTTGATTAAAATTTGGTAAATTTATTTATTTCATCGTAAGCAATTAATATTTTACTAAAAACACTCACTATTACACTCACTGTAGCAGCAATCTTAGTTTTAATCATTTAACATAGCCTAATGTTATTTAAATAGGGAATAAATCTGCCATTTTTTTTTATATTTGAGTTAAAACCCTATTCGGCAAATGTAAATTCACTTAGTCTGCAGGTTTGCTGCAGGGGTATTATAATCTATCTATATATTAATAGGCAAGCATGTTTCCTTAAAACCTTTTTTCTCAGCTCGTGTGCATCGCAGGGGAAATCTACGCATACTGTTAGAAAGATATTTGCCTGTAGATGTGCAGAATCCCTTTATAAATTAAAATAGGCTAAAAAATAAGCACAAAAAACGAATTTGAAAACTTCAAAAAATTAACATGGACCAACTGGGTTGCCATGATGGTGACGAAATAACAACAAAATGTAAACAGTAAATCAAAACAAATGGAAGAAATCCCAATCACATGTTTTATTTACAGTGTGGGGAGAAAATAGAGAAGTCTGTACATTAATTATTTTTGGTCGAGTTTCGACCACAGGACTACCACTAGTTTTATTTTAATGTATTTGAGGCAAAATTTTAAAAATTGCAGCTTGCGTAGGTATTGGTAATATTCTATGGACTTTGGGATACCAAAAAGTGGCAGTACAGTTAAAGGTGCATATATAGATTTTCGTCCTAAGAAAAAATGCAATCCAAACAGAATTTCAAGACTTGTAAAGAAAAAAAAAATTATTTTTCTCAACAATTATAAAACTACAATGTTGGACTATTACTACTGTACAGTTCAATATACCTGGACCAATGGACCTAAATAAGGAGAAAATAAAAATATTTTGTATGAAAGCTGCCAGCCCAGCTGACAGTCCTTTGGGCTAATGCTGATATAGTGCAGTTAAACAAAACAAAATGATATTAAGGTAAAACACGATAGAATAAGTGTGATTCAAGGTTGTATGTATATATTTTTTTTGTATATGAAAGAGTTATTTATGAAAAAATCTTATTATTTTGTAATGCATTGTTTTAATGAAAATAAAGCACTGGTTTCATTTCATTTCAATGGACCTAAATATAAACTAACAGTTAGTTCAGTTAGAAAGTGAATTTATATACCAGACAGGTTAACAGCATTTAAATTCAAGAGGAAGACAGGTTATTGCTCCTTGGTAACAATTAGGCCAGGTGGTATAGCAGACGCAACAATACTTTTAACAAGTTTGAACAGGTGCAGTGTCAGAGGTTTAGTTTTATCATCAAATTAAAGGCAAATTTGAAATATATAAAATAAAATAACAATGCTCTAAATTGTTTGTCTCTAAATAATATTTTAATTGTCTAAATAAATCAGCAACTTCTGTGATTAATTTAGGGAGCATAGATGAGTGTAGAATGTTTGACCATTGATAGATGTAGACATTTCATTTCCAAGAATTGAACCCATTTAAACTGAGCTCTCAACCGATCGTTCTGATGTTAATTACTGGTTTCTACGGCATAAGTTGGATTATTAAAAATATATATACAGGGTGTTAAAAAAAGGTGGGGACATATTTTACCTAGTGATTTCTTGGGTGAAAATAAAGAGAAAATCACATATAAAATTTTTTCCAAAATCGCTTCGTTAACCAGATATCCACCATTTTGTATTTGTTACATAAACATTTTTATCTTTGGACTTTTTCAACCAATCTTTATAAAACTTGGCATGCATGTTAAGGTAGATCGCTTCGTTAACCAGATATCGACCATTTTTTTATTGTTACATAAACATTTTTATCTTTGGACTTTTTCAACCCATCTTTATAAAACTTGGCATGTATGTTAAGGTAGAAGAGACCATGTTAGAAAAAAAAATCATCTTGATTCAACTTAAAATTTCAAAATGGCGGCCATTTAATTTTTTTAAACTTAAATTACTCAAAAACGGCCGCCATTTTGAAATTGTAACATGAATCAAGATGATTCTTTTTCTAACATGGGTCTCTTTTAGATTAACATACATACCAAGTTTTATAAAGATCAGTTAAAAAAGTCCAAAGATAAAAATGTTTATGTAAAAAATACAAAATGGCGGATATCTGGTTAACGAAGCGATTTTGGAAAAATTTGTATACTTGATTTTCTCTTTATTTTGGCCCAAGGAATCACTAGGTAAAATATGTCCCCACCTTTTTTAACACCCTGTTTATATAAATTACTGTAACAAAACTAAAACTTTGCTGGTGCTTTTCTAGATTTTTATATGTTTAATACTTTTTTAGAATACAAATTTACCTTTTGTTCTAATATAAAAATAATACCTGCAGAAAATAACACCTGAAAAAAATGTTGGTATTGAATTTTAATATCAAGTTAGTACAATCAATAAAATAATATATTTACTTTGTTTTGCTTAGCTAAAAAATACTACGCACAGTTTAATAATATTGAAACTAGATGATCCAATGCAAAAATGTCATCTCCATTATATGAACAAAGGTGCATATAATTTGACAAAGCCAAAATAATTATTCATCTACTTTTTAAATTACTTGATAAGTTTAGTGTGAAGTAAGTATGATCATACAAATCAAAAATATATTCATTGATTAAACATACTTTCTATAAAATGAAATCTTTTTTCCATTCAGCTAGTTACCAACAGAAACTTCATTGATTTCCAAAATGATTTTTCAAACCTACAACTTAAACAAAAACATTAATAAAAATACCAATAACATATGATTGAAAAAATAAATTTAACATTGTTTTGATTTATGTTTTAACCTTCAACATAACTAACAGTAACTTAACTTTTTTGATTTTTTAATGAAAATTAATAATGAAATAAATTTTTGTAAAAAACAAAACAATGCAAATAAAAATCTATGTTTCAATTTTACTCCATGTCTTACAATTTTCAATAATGATGAGCAAATCTCAACCTACCCGTTCTCATGAAAAGCCTTACGACGAAAGCAACGACATTGTAAATATACTTCGGGAGCAGTGGATTTCCAATAGCTTAGACTCAGGCCCATCAAAGAATAGTGGGAAAAATGAAAAAGAAACTAAGACAGAAGAAAACATAACCTCAAAAAGTACTTCAAACACTGACGTTACTTCAAGTGTGGAGACTGATGCTACAAGCGTAACGTTCACATCAACAAAGGCCGACCGAAGTGTAAGCACCACTCGGATAACTTTAAACTCAACTTATTATACATCTCATCCCAAGTACACTCCAGACTTTAAGCTAGTGAAGAAAAAGGTGATTACAATAGAAGAATTTGAGGACGATAGAGACATTGAAGGAATAAATCACAAATTTTTCAAGGAAACAAAAGATTATGGAAACCATTTGAAAGAAGAAAGACTCGGAGGTGACAAGAGTGCTACAACCTCTGTTTCCACAAGTTAAAATTTTAAATACTCCTACGATAGATATTAAAGGGTAAACCAACTAATAACTACCCAAATAACTGGTTTTAAGGATTATCAATATAAAGATTTCTCAAAACTAAAGATACTAAATGAAAACTTTGATAGCTTTTCAAGTGACCTTTTAATTTTCAATTTTATATTTCCTATCCTAAGTTTTAGAAGAAAATTACATCTGGTTAATCTAGCTCAGATTGTAGTTGTTAATCAAGTGAGACCTACATAATAACAACTAGGCCTATTGTGAAATAAATTTAATTGAATTCAATTGTGCAAGTTTCAGATTACCGTAATAAGTTTAAAAAGCAGTGTTTAGAATTTTGTCATCAAAACAAGAGAAGAATGTCTGGATTTTTAAATACAGAGCGTGTCATTAAATAGACAATCATGGATGGCCATTCATATGATGCACATAAAACATAAATACGAAAATTAACACTAATCGTACCCTCTCACTACCATAAACAGATTCCAACAAACTTAATAAAGTATAACGTATAACTAAGATTTTAATAACGATTGGTCAACATGAGCAGACTAATTTTAGCATGCTCATGTTCACCAAACGTTTATTTTTAAATAGGGTTTTAACATAACCTAACATGAAACAAACATTCAAACATAAAATAAAGGCCTCACATCTTACAATAGTTTATGAAAAATGCAGGATTCACATAAGTAATATAGGTTAGCTATTCAAAGTTCACAAACAAGTAGACCAATGGATGAACAAGTCTATTGGATGAAATTATTAAATTCCGCTATACAACACAGTTTACTTCACCCACACTTCTAGGGTCCAAAAATAGGGTATTTTTTTGCCTCAGTTAGGATAATATCTGATAAATAGATAGGGAATTTGCCAGGAATTATTAAGGAAATTTAACCTTTTTCTCCAGTGGAAAATTTCTACTTTTACTTTTGTGATGTTTCATGTGTCTCTATGGACTTGTTTAAAGGTAAGCCTGCTTTCCTGTCAATTTCAACTATAAACAATATCTTATCCGTAACAAGTTTATGGTCTGTCAGCACAGCAAATTATGCTGACTAGGTGAACCCGTGCGAATTCGCACGAATAATAAATTAGGATACGTCATTAAAAGTTGCGTCGTTGTATCGACGTTGGTCTTGAGCTCGATCGTTGGCTATACGCATTCTAAGTTCTTTTTGCTGTTCGGTAGGAGTGTTTTGCAGGACGGAGCTCATCATGCTGAAAACTTGCGCGAATGGATTAATATCAACCAAATGTTGAATCAAAATTAAAATCAAAATGTTGAAGAGCCATTAGCTTTGTTTAGCATTCTTTCTTGAACAGCGGTTTCAACGTCGTAGATTTAAATTTGGGCATATGTGGGATGCTCTTCTTCTGACGGTTGTCAGGTG